GCCATACAGCCCGGCCACACCAGGGAAGGCCATCGAGACGGACGGCTTCTACTGGACGGACCCTCGCGACAAGCAGACCTGGACCGGGACCTACATCGTCGATGCAGGCACTCGGCTCAGCGGCGGGAAGCTTAACCTCAAGGGCCGACTCATGAGGTCAGGCGAGGAGTTCCGCAAGACGCTGCAGCAGACGTGGATGCAGTACTACGGACGACCTGCTCTACTACGCCTGGACGGCGAAGGCTGCCATGTCGAGAAGAGAGTCAAGGAATGGCTATCGTCGCGCGGCATCATGGTGGATGTCACCGCTCGGCAGGCTCACAACCAGCTAGCGCTATGTGAGAGGAATATCGGCATCTTAAAGGACACCATGACCAAGATCGCAGAGGAGTCCGACGCCAAGGTTACCGCGGACGAGATTTTCTGGGAGGCGATCGCCGCCATGAACGATCTCGGCAGGTACAAAGGCCACAGCCCCTACGAGATGATGCTGGGCAGGACCCCTGAGCCGATCGTGGGCGACGTGTTCGGCGAAGATCACAACATGCCGATCCTCAGCAAGACCTACGAGGCCGACGACGACGAGTACATCAAGAACCAGAAGGTGCGACTCGAGGCGAGGAAGGCTTTCCTCGAGGTTACTTCTAGACGACGTCTTGCCCTACTGGAGCTACGCAAGACCAGAGAGAAGACACACTGGACTACAGGGCAGCTCTGCTACTGGTGGTCCGAGAAGGCGAAGGGCAACGTTAAGATGCCTGGTGGAGTTTGGGCTGGCCCGGCGACAGTCATCGCCCAGGAGCCCGGCTCGGACGGCAATCCAGGGTCAGTCGTCTGGATAGAGCACCACGGCCGACTTCTACGAGCAGGACGTGGCCACCTTCGACCAGCTACCGAGACGGAGATCGAAATCCACAAACTTCTTCATGGAGAGGCGGTTCCTCTTAACATCACCGCTGCCATGCTGAAGGTCAAGGCTAGCGAATTCGAGGACCTGATCGGACAACGCCTTCCAGATCTCGACGATGAAGATGACGCGTGGGTGATGGAGCCAGAGGATCCCTTTCCGCAGAAGGCGGGAGGTGGGCAGCCAGCTGCTGCCGAGACTCAGGCGACCGAGGCGCCTACGACATCGGAGCCTACAGGGGCAGCCGAGACCAAGGAGGAGGATACGAAGTCCGAGGACAAAAAGTCAGAGAAGGAGGACGACCTTTCATCGGAAGATCTCGAAGCGCCAGAACCACCAGGCCAACTACCTGAAGACCTACCTGTACCTGGAGTTCGGCGACGTCAAGAAGCTGAAGAAGACGCCGCAGTCAAGAAGTCGCGCCAGACTACGAGAACCGGAACCAAGCGCGGGAGAGACCTGGATGAGTTCGGCAAGCGGATGACCGACGACCCCAACTCAGTTCAGAAGACTAGCGAGGACCAGGACGTCACCACCGAGCGCCAGGATGCCGTCTACCTGTCTATCGCGGTCCCCTCCCGGGACGCCCTCAACCGCTTCGTGAAGGACCCCAGGCTGTACGTGGCTACACAGGCTAGGAGGCAGCGCATCGAGGTCAGCTACAAGAAGCTGGACGACAAGGACAAGGCGAAGTTCGACGTGGCTATGAAGAAAGAAGTTGATCAATTTCTACTCGCGCAGGCGTGCCGAGGTGTACTTCGGAGCAAGCTACCGGACGTCGACCTGATGAAGATGCGCTGGGTACTTACCTGGAAGGAGGATCCAGAAGCGGAAGGCGGCAAGAAGGCCAAGGCCAGACTGGTACTCATCGGCTACACCGACAAGGACCTCGAGACGCTCAAGACCGAATCGCCAACACCCTCGAGGCGAGCGCGCCAGATGCTATACCAGAAGGCGGCCAACGAGAAATGGCAGACGTGGCTTGCGGATGCTTCGTCAGCGTTCCTGCAAGGGGAAGCTACAGAGGAAGAGCGAGAGCTTTATGCACTACCAGTACCACAACTACGAGAAGCACTACAGCTTAATGACGATGACGTTGTGCAGATTCTCAAGGCCTGTTATGGACTTACGAATGCACCCAGGCGGTGGCACGAGAAGGTCAAGAAGGATCTAGAGAGCAGAGGCTGGTATGCATGCAAGCTCGAGCCGTGTCTCTTCACCAAGCTGAACTCTGACAACAAGGTGATCGGGCTCATCCTGGTGCATGTGGATGACTTCCAGATTGCGGGTGACCTCACCAACGTGGAGTTCAACGTGGAGTACGAGCATCTCAAGACGCTATACCGATGGGGCATGTGGAAGTCAGACGAGGCTGGCTATTCAGTTTGTGGAGTTGAAGTTTCCAGAAATCCAGATGGAGGCTTCAGGCTAAGTCAAGAAAAGTATGCCAAGACCATCCAGCCGATCAACGTCAAGAGAGGCCGAAAGGCTAGTCCGGACGACAAGCTGACAGCCGGAGAAGTGACTGCATGCCGTGCCATCCTTGGTCAAGCTCAATGGCTTTCAACACAGACGATGCCTCAAATTGCTGTGCACGTTTCTATGCTACAAGCGGTTGTCAACAGTGCGACGGTCAAGGACCTCGGCAGGATCAACCAGCTGGTCAAGACTATTCACGAGTTTGCGAGCACAGGAGTTACCATACATCCTTATAAGCAGATGGCGTGGGTATGTTGGTTCGATGCATCGTGGTGTTCAAGAGCAGATGGGAGCAGTCAAGGAGGCTATGTTGTGTGCACTACCGAGGTGGAGGCGCTCAGCGGCAAGAAGCAGAAGTTCACAGTATTCACGGGAGCTTCCAAGAAGCTGACACGAAAGTGCCGTTCATCATTGGGCGCAGAAATCCAAGCAGCAAGCGAGGCAGCGGAGGAGCTGGAGTATACACAGCTAGCTTGGATGGAGATGCTGAACGCAGATGTGCAGCTCAAGGGCGACAAGCGCTACGACATGATCAAGAAGGGACCACAGAGTGTTCTCGTCACGGACTGCAAGAGCCTATACGATGCAGTTACTGGTTCGGAGAGTTCAGCACTGGGTCTCAGCGACAAGCGCGCCGCTATCGAGTGCATGGCGTTCAAGCAAGGAGTTCAAGAGTGCGGTGCCGAGCTTCGTTGGGTTCATTCTCATGCGCAGGTAGCAGATGGTTGCACGAAGATAAAGTACGAGGCGCAGAAGCTATTAGATGTTTTCATGTGCAGGAGCTACTGGACGCTGGTTCATGACCCGGAGTTCGAGTCTGCGAGGAAACGAGGTCTGAGGGGACTCGATATTCTCGCCGAGAAGCCGACACTCGCCGAGGAACCACAAGTTCATGCTGAAGAGTGAGTTCGGCCAGGTGGTTTCTTATCCATATCGCTCGCCTTTGCGAGGTTTTTGATTTGATTTGATTTAGTCGAGTCTCTGCGACAATGTAGCTTTACATATCTGCCCGCTCCGCGGGGATTTCATCTTATTTTACATACCTGACCGCTCCGCGGGGATTTCATCTCATCTTATATATCTGTCCGCTCCGCGGAGATTTTATTTCATATTTCAGATCTGCTCGCTTAGCGAGATGTATGCGAGAGTAGCGCCGCTACCAGAGATGATTTTCAGGCAGGATCGAAGGCCAAAAGGATTTTCCCCTGTGTGTTTTGTATAGTGCAGTTGGCCTTCCGATCCGAGACGCCCCGAGACCGAGCGACTGCTACTGTTGCTGTTTCGGTCCGAGGGCGCCCTTGAGTCCCGGTAAGGCTACCGGGCGCGGCCGACCGGCCACACACTCACCAAGTGAGTGACTGTTTCAGCCCACCAGGGGCTAGCGAGATATCTTACAGATTGTTGTGTCGCTGGCGCGAGCTGTGGAGGAAAAGATTATCAAGATAATCATCTACGAGAAGATCGACAGCAGGCTGACGCCAGTGCCGACGATTTAGGGGGGGACCCCGGGCCCCGAAGAAAGGGGGCAGGTGGGGGTGGGGGAGCTTCCAAGCCGCCCCCCTCCCTTTAGCTTGGGCCCCGCTCAGTCACAACATGCCCACGAAAGGGGGGCGAGGGGGGGGGGGGGGCTTCGGAATCCCCCCTCCCCCCTTTCCAAGGGAGGGGGGGGGGTAGATTGAAGCTGGGGCCTCCCCTTTAGTGAGAAGTGCGCCACGAGCGCGCTCTTGCATACGTATAGCAGCACCAGGCGTCAGTGGCGACCAGCAGTATCAGGTAGAAGCGGCGAGCAGAATTCGCGAGCCGCAGCAGCCTGCGGCAGTAAGCAGCAGCCGCGAGAGGCAGCAGCAGGCCACAGGCCAGGCAGCAACAGGAAAACAGCACAACACAGCACCAAACCACACTAAGCAGCAGCAGCAGCACGCCTTAGCTGCCAGCAGCAGCATGCGCCAGAAAGCAGCAGACTGCACAGGCAGCAACTCAGAGCGCGCAGCATCGAGCAACACTGGGCAACCAGCAGGCTGGCAACCAGGGAAGCAGACAAAGGGGCAAGCGGGCAAGCACCACTAGCAAGCAACAGCAGCCTGCAGCGGAAAGAAGCAGCGGCAATCAGCAGCATGCAGCGGTTGCACGAATTGACAGCAGTAGCTTGCACAAAGCAGCAGCAATCAGCAGCAACAGGCCGCGAAAAGCCACAGCACGCACCCGCAAACACGCAGTAACGGTAAAGAGCCGCAGCCAGCAGCAATCATATCAGAAACAGCCGAATACGCCAGGAAGCGGCAGCGAGTTCACGTGCCAGCGGTGAAGCAAGCAAGTTGGCCAGAAAGATGTCAGGCAAGCTGCCAGCATGCAAGCAGGAAAGTCGAGGAAAGCTGTCAGGCCAGCAGGCCAGCAGACATGCGCGCAGGATAGCACGCAAGCGGGCAAGCGATCATCACCCCTGCACCCCCCCCTGTACATCGTCGGGCGAGCTCTTCAAGCTAGTCTGTGGTGATATGAGGTCAGGCAGCCTCTGATCATGTTCAACATAGGTCTCTTAGTCAGCTACAGCGCTGGGATCAGCGCGTGCGGCAAGGGCGGGCAGTGGCAGCGGGCTTTAGAGCTGCTCAGCGAGATGCGGGAGGCCAAGCTGGAGCCCGACGCTATCTCGTCTGCACTGCAGGACGCCGCGCGGGCCAGAAGGGTTTGGCACGGAGAGAGCGCCAGAGCCTCTGGGAGAGGCCTCTGGAGAGCCCAAGGAACCCAGAAACCATCCCAGGCGCTTCCTGGAGCAGCCCTGAGAGGCCCGGGGAGCCCCGGGGGTGCTTCCACCAAGACGTCTCCAGACTCGGCGGCGAGCCGGGGGGAGACGCGAGCGCGGGGGCGGGAATTCTCAGAGGGCGGCGGCGGCCTCTCGGAAGCCCTCCGGCCTCCTGCGAGGCCGCCTGTGGCTTCGGAGGAGGCCTGCAGGGCTTCTCCGCGAGCGCGAGGGCTTCTGAGAGGCCCCGCCGCCTTCTGAGCAGGCCCGCCCCGGCTCGCGTCTCCCGTGGGCTCGCCGCCGGCAGACGGCCCTCTGGAGCCCTCGGAGGGCCAGACACGGCCCAGTGGAGGCCCCAACAACGCCCCAGGGCCTCGCCGCCGAAGGACGGCCCTCTGGAGCCCTCGGAGGGTCGGACACGGCCCAGTGGAGGCCCCAACAACGCCCCAAGATGTGGCTGAGGTGACCCCAGAGGCTCTACGATGGGCCCGCCAGGGCATAGGTTGCATTATGGCAGAATTTTTTCCAGGTTTTTACAATTCGACCGTCGCAGAATTCTAAACAAGATTGCGCGGCGCCCATCGTAATTAGTACAATGGGCCCGCCGAGGTTCCCTGGCAGCCGAAGCTGCTGGAGTTCTGCTTCCTGGAGGTTTTCGCAAGGGTCCACCGCCCTCTCCACGCGTCGGCTCCCTAGATCTCCTGGCGCAGCTCAAGAGGGCCCCAGAGCTCCCCCACAGTCGGGGGCGGACAGACCTCCTTCCCTGACACGTCGATTAAGGAATTGGCCGTTTTCGTTTCGCGAGAGGGCGTCGCGGCCGTCATTTTTGCGGGTCCAGGTCCGCCCGCCGGTTTCGGTCCCAGGCCGTTTTCGCGAAGGGGAGGTTCACTGAAGGGAGGTTTGTCCACCGCCGACACAAGGGCAGGCCCGGTCGGCCTCCAAGTTGGCCCCAAGATGGCCCGGGAGAGGGCCCAACAACGCCCCAGGATGGCCCCACACCGCGGAGCGCCCCGAGCGCCCCTGCCCCACGACAGCACCTGGAAGCCCCCGAGGGACACCCAGGTGACCCCCAGGCGCCGCAGGAGGGCCCCAGAGCCAAGAGGCCCCAGAGAACGCCCCCATGAAGGGCCAGAGTTGGCCCCCTGTGCGACCCGAGAGGAGACCGGGTGTTCGGCCACCCCCGCGCCGAGGCCATGGGGACGCTCGTGTGAGGGCCGCTTCTCAAGACTCCCTGCTCGTCCCACGCCCTCCGCTCCTCACTCCTCGCTCGCCGCTCTCTCCTCGCTCCAGGCCTGTCGCGCATCGATCCTGGCATCTCTCTTCTCGCCCCTGCTCGCTCCTCTCTCCTGGCCAGCCTCGTGCCTCTCCCTCCTGGCTGCCGTCTCCTCGGCCGTCGCTCCTCCCTTGTCGCTCCTTGCTCCTCGCTGGTCGCTCCCCGCTTCTCCCAGCTCCCCCTTCGACCCTGGCTCCTCGCTCCTTGCTCCTCGTTCCTGGATCCGCTCACGAGCTGCAGGCTGCGCCAGATACACCGAGAAGCGGCACCATGCAGCCGCAAGCAGCAGCAGCAGCAGCAGCAGCAGCAGCAGCAGCAGCAGCAGCAGCGAACTGAGGTAGTCCGCACCAAGCAGCGGCAGCACGGCAACACGAAGCAACTGCAAAATCAACATGCCGCAAGCAGCAGCACCTTGCAGCTGCAGGCAGCAGCAGCGGCAGCAACAGCAGAGGCGAAGTTCGGGCTCGAACATCATCATGAAAGCCTTCCAGCAACGCCTCCGCCGTGACCCTACGTGCCATCTCGGACAGGTTTAGTGGCTGGTAGGCCATGAGTCAGAAGGAGTCCCCATTACAATGCCACGATCAGTGTGCGCGAAGGGTGTTTCCAGCGGCAACGCACTGCCCCCGACCCCGGGCCGCTCTGGCCGGGCCCTCCGAGCCGCCACGATCGCCAGCGGCCCTAGACGGTCCAAAACGGCCCGAGGTGGCTCTAGCGCGCTCCGAGACCCTTCACGATGGCTCCAACACACCCCAAGGTGCTCCAAAGACGCCCTAAGAAAGCGCCAAGAGGGTCCGTAGGACGGTCCCAAGAAGAAGATGTCATCGACACTGCTGGATTTTATTCCGATAATTTTTGAGTTCTCGCCTCCTCAGGCTTCAGGCAGCCCACGACGGCCCGACCAGCCTCCCGGATCGCCCCAAGACGACTCATATGCTCCTAAGACCTCTCTTGACTTCCCCCAGGCCGCTTTGGCCAGGCCCTCGGAGCCGCCAATGCGACCTCCGCAGCGGCATCGGACGGCCCAAGACGGCCTAAGGTGGCCCAAGCGCGCTCTGAGACCGTCCACGATCCAAGATGGCCCCAACACGGCCCAAGATGCAAGAGGCTCCAAAGACACTTGCTGATAGCCTCAAGAGGGTCCCCAGGATGGCTTCCAGAAGCAATGTCTCTGACAGTCGTGCGTTTTCTGGATCTTCATATGACTTTCGCGTGGTCGCCTCCTCGGGCTTCAGGTTGTGATGCTCCAACCTACGTTAGTCTTGATCACCAGAAAGAATTTCGAGCGCCCAAAAAAGTGCCGAAACTCAATGGTTTTCACGTGTCGGGCCCTGGGAAACACTCGCCCGACACTGTTTCGACACTCTTTTGACACTTTTCCGGGTGCTCGAAATTATTTATGGGATGTGGTCCTTACGTAGGATGGGAACAACATAAGCTTCATGCAGCCCACGAGGGCCCGAGTGGCCCCCCCAGATCACCCAAAGACTGCCCAGGAGGCTCCCTAGAGCGGCCCGGACGGCCCAGGAGAGCCCGAGGCCTCCTCCTCTTCCTCCCCTCCTCCTTCTCCCCCTCCTCCTACTCCTCCTCCTCCTTCTTCTCCTCCTCCTCCTCCTCCTCCTCCTCCTCCTCCTCCTCCTCCTCCTCCCCCTCCTCCTTCCTCCCCTCCTCCTCAAGAGAGCGCCCAGGTGGCCTCAAGGGAGGCCAAGAGAGGCCCGAGAGAGCTCCCAGAGGGGCCCACAGCGGCCTTGGGAGCTGTCACTTTGAAAACTGGTCAAAATGATGTATCAGAAGGCCCAATTGGGCCCTCTGGTGGCCTGGTTGTGCTTGCGTCTCCTCGCAAGCAAAGCCCGCAGGTTCTTCGACCCCGAGATTCCACACCATATGTGCACACTAGTCTCTCCTACATGGCCAGTGGAAGCGCGTGCGAGAATCTTTCCGGGCCTCACGTGCACAAAATCGCTTCTTTACTCTGGACGCCCGAAATGGGTACCGAAAGAATGGGTAAAATGCCCAACAACAATTCCTGTTTATTTTGAACAGGATTCGCTGTCCGCGCCGCCGCAGCCTGTGTCCATTCGAGACAGAAGGTCGCCTGCCCAACAGCGGCCGCTGTTGGCTTGGGACAACATTTGTTGTTGGGCATAGTGCCCATTCTTTCAGTACCCATTTCGGGCGTCCAAATTTACGGCGCCACCACGGGGCCGAATCGCTCAGGCCGGTCCCAGAGGCGCTCCCGAGGGGTTCCCAGACCGTCAAGACGGCCTCCGTGGCTCCCGAGAACGAGGGCCCGAAGCCTTCCGGGGGGGGGGGGCTCTACGACGATCCAAGGGGCCGCAAAGGCGCCCCAAGAGGGCCCCGAGCGCACGCCAAAGAGGCACAAATCGTCAAATTCCCATGGGAAAGCGTATATTTTCAGCATGCCCGCTTTGTGTGCTCCTCAGTCCTCAGCAGCCCAGGACACGCCAAGAGGCCTCCCAAATCGCCCCAAGAAGACGCCAGCGGCCCCTCAGAGGGCTCCAAGACGGCCCACAAGAGCTCCAAGACGACGCCAGAGAGCCCTGAAACGGCCTTACAGAACCCCAAGACGGCCCCAAGAGAGCTCCGAGGGGGCCCCAAGAGGCTCCCAAGACGGCCTCAGGCAGCCTCAAGAGAGCTCCAAGACGGTCCAAGGCCTCCCGGTTGCCCCGTGACGGCCCAAAATGGCTCCAAAACGTCCCAAACTTTCCCAGAGCAGCCCAAACAAGCCCAAACAAGCCTCAGACTGGCCCGAACAAGACCCCCACAAGGACCAGCAAGCAGGCCCAGCTACGACCATTAAAAGAGCGATCGGTGAAGTACAAAGCTCTTCTCACCAAGGCTCCCAAGAGCGAGACGCAGCGTAGAGAGCTCTCCCATGCACAGCTCCCAAGAGCGAGCGGTGACGTCGGGACACCCTTCCGACCTCTCACACAGGAACACGCACGAACAGCACGCAAGCACAATAGATTTCCTGGGCTGTCCCCCGGAAGAGGCTCGGGGCGACAGCCCGGGAACGGCCCCACAGGCGCCCCCAGAAATTTCAAGAGAAAAGGCCTCCAGGAGGCCGCAAGACGGCCCAAGAGGGCCCCAAGAGGCCCCCAGGAGGCGGCAAGACAGCCAACGAGGCCCCAACAGGCCCCCAGGAGCTCGAAAAGAAACCCCGAGAGGCCCACTAACCGTTCCCAAGGAGACGGCAGCGCCCGCCATCAGGCTTCGAAGAGGCAACCGGAAAAAAGTCACCAGGGCCCTCCGGGTGACTTGTTTCAAGGCCCCAGGTGCTTTCAACATTGACAAGCGGCGAGACGTACACCGCAGACCCACCATAGCCGTCTGTGACGCTCCGAAGGCTGTCTAGGCGGAGGTAGAGCGGAAGGCGGACGAAGAGAAGGAAGCGGTCCAAGAGGGCCTCCGAGACGGCCCAAGGCCGCTCGAAGACGCTCCAGACGAGCCGCGGCAAACGAAATCATTGATTCCTCCATGGTTTCTGAAAGATTTCCACCTTCTCGCCATTTCGAGCGAAGACAGGTCCAAAACGGCCTTTTCGAGCCAAGACTGGCCCAAGATGACGTGGACGAAGTCCACGGGTTCGCCCTGGTTAGCTACAGCGCTGGGATCAGCGCGTGCGAGAAGGGCCAGCAGTGGCAGCGGGCTTTGCTGCTGCTCGGCGAGACGCGGGAGGCGAAGCTGGAGCCCGACGTCATCAGCTACAGCGCCGGGATCAGCGCGTGCGAGAAGGGCGATCAGTGGCAGCGGGCCTTGGCGCTACTCGGCGAAATGAGGGGGACGAACAAGGAGCCCAACGTCATCAGCTACAACGCCGGGATCAGCGCGTGCGGGAAGGGCGAGCAGTGGCAGCAGGCTCTGGCGCTGCTCCGCGAGATGAGGCGGGCGAAGATGCACCCCAATGTCCACAGCTACAGCGCCGGGATCAGCGCCTGCGAGAAGGGCGAGCAGTGGCAGTGGGCCCTGGCGCTGCTCGGCGAGATGCGGGGGGCGGGGCTCGAGCCCAACGTCTTCAGCTGCAGCGCCGGCATCAGCGCATGCGGGAAGGGCGCCCAGTGGCAGCGGGCCCTGGCACTCCTCGGCGAGCTGCGGGGGGCGAGGCTGGAGCCCGGCGTCAGCGGCTGCAGTGGAAACCCATGCCAAGAAGCACCCTGCTCGCCTCCAGAGTGCCCTGGGTTTCTTGGGTTTCGATGGCTTTGCCGTGGACAGCGCGACGCTCCCACGCCAAACATCGATGGGCGACCTGGGGTCTCAGGGTTGGGTTTCTTGTGGAAGGTTCCTTGTGGTCGAGGTCCTACTCTCAGAGCGTGAATAACCTACCCCGCTTTCGCTTCCAGGCAAAAACCAAGTCATACCGCGCGCCTCCTCGTCAAGCGGCCTGACCAGTACAGGCCGTAGTTTGGCATCACTTGGTATCTCTTGGAAGCGAGGGTGGTCAAAAGCGAGGTAGGTTTGTTTGCCCCCTATACTCTGCAGCGGTGGCATCCGCGCGGCCAGCCCGTCCGCGAGCCACGGAGGGCAGCGAGCCCATCGTTCGGCGGCGAGCGAGGGGGGGGGGAGTGAGAAGGTCTACTCTGTAAGAACGGTTTTTTGAAGGCAGATCTGCCTTCAAAAAATGGTCTACTCTGTAAGAACGGTTTTTTGAAGGCAGATCTGCCTTCAAAAAACCGTTCTTACAGAGTTTTTTGAAGGCAGATCTGCCTTCAAAAAACCGTTCTTTTGAAGGCAGATCTGCCTTCAAAAAAACATTTTTTGAAGGCAGATCTGCCTTCAAAAAACCGTTCTTACAAGGCGGGACTTCTCAGAAGCCCTCGCGCCCTCCGAGAAGTGTCGTGTGCGTCGTCGGGGAAGGCTCGGAAGGATTTCCAGAAGGCCAGGGGGGACTTCCGAGCGCCCACCGAGGAGGCCCGGCCCCGCCACCCCCGCTCGCCGCCGAGCCCACGTGTCCTCTTCGGGGGGCCTCGCCTGCCCCCAGAATCGGTGTCTTCGCTTGTGCCCGACGCTCGACGCGGATCCGACGCGGATTCGACACGGATCCGACAAGTCCAACATGGACTCGACACGGATTCGACGCGGATAGGGCCGCGACGAGATTCAACATAACCGAGTCATGAGGCTCCACTGGTCTCGACAGTCTCCGCGGCTCTCCAGGGTGACGTGCTCGTCGCAGCTGCGGCATGTCACGGGCCTCGAGGAGCCGCGGGCACCCCATGAAGAGGTCCGGGTCGCCGACCGGCGCGTGCGCGGAGGGAGCCTCCGCCACCGGCACGCGTCCCTCGACGCGTGGGTCGCGCCTCGGCCATCGGCGTCACCCCAACATACCAATACTATATGTGCGTCCCCCCCCCCGGGCGACGCGCGCACCGAGAAATCTTATAGTATATGCGTCGTGGCGGGCGTTTTCTGGCCACACCGCTCGGGAAACGATGTACTACACGATGGATACACCATACATATATGTATATATATATATGTATGTATGTATATATATATATATATGTATGTGTATATATGTATGTATTTGTATATATATATATGTATCTATGTATATGTGTGTATGTTTGGGTCGGACGCGTGCCTCCAAGGAGGACATCTAGTACCAGTATGTCCTTGTGCGTCCCATCCACCACGAGGACCGTCCCTCGGCGCGTGGGTGGCGCCTCGGCCACGGCCGCAGCCCTCGGCTCGGCCCGGGCCTTCGCCCTGCTGCCGGCGCCGAGTCCAGCGCTGACCACACCTCGGCATCGCTCGGAGGTGTGCGTGTTTTCCTCGGCGAGAGCCGTCGAGGAGCATCGCAGATCATGTGCGAACAAAAAATGCACGCACGGAATCGGATCATGCACGGGGAGTTGGCGTCCGAGCGGTGGCGAGACACACCTCCGCGATCATGACCCGGCTGCCACTGCGAGCACTGCCGCCGCCGCGTTGCGTGCTGCTGAAGAGGGCCGTCTTCGCCCTCTGCTTGTGTTGCACGACCGCTGCGAAGCTGCCGAGGGCCTCCTCGTGTCTCTCGGCATCTCTCCGATCTCCTCGATCGTCACCCCGCCCTCTCCTCACGTAGCTAGCTGTCGAGATCCGCATCAGTGCTCGTGTGACTCTGACCCGCGGTGCATCCACCCCTCTCGTGGTCGCAGTCCTCGTCAATGCTTTCGATATCGGCGGGCCAGGCCGCCTTCCAGGGACGAGCACGGTTTCCATGGAGATGGGGTCGAGCAGCGTACCGCTTGCCGTGCGTGCTTTTTGTGTTTTCCCCCCCTCCCTCTCTCTCTCTCTCTCTTGGATGTTGGCATGCTGCAGCAGCAGGGCCTTGACGAAGGCCTCGCGGTCGCACGTGCTGTCTGCGCTGCTTGGCATGAGCTTCCTTCTGGAGCCTGGCGCGAATTTGAGCAGCGGGTGCGTGTGCAGGTCCTTCGAGATGCTCGCTTCCTCTGGCACCTGTTTGAGCTCGAACACCTCCGTGCGCCGCGTGATGCACGCCCGCATGCTCCTGCTGGGGATCCGCCGCGCAACCCTGCCGTGCGGGGCTCCGTCGAACGGCTCCGCCGCGCGGCCGCGCCTCTCCTTCGGCGCCCCCTCGCCAAGCGGCTCCAGCAGCAGCTCCAGGCCCTCGCTGGTCGCCTTCTTCTCGCTTTGCTGCTGGCGCCTCTGCTGCCAGTCTCGATCGTCTCGTCCTCGTACGCGGGCGAGCAGGCTCTCGTCGGGCAGCGCTCCGGCCGCGCCGTGAGGCGGTGTCGCTCAGGCCGTTCCTGTAAGCTGACCGGCGTGCTTCTCGGCGCCCCGGCGACGAAGCCGCCACGGGCCCTCGAAGAGTGCTGGACCTCGACGCGGATCTCCATCTCGGCGGCGAGCGACGGGGGGGAAGGGAGAAGGAGAAGGCCTTCTCAGAAGTCGGGGGGACTTCTCAGAAGCCCTCGCGGCTTCTGAGAGGTTTTTTCTGTGTCTTCCGGGAAGGCTTAGAAAACTTCTCAGAAGGCCAGGGGATATCCGAACCTTCTGAGAAGGCCTTCTTCTTCTTCTTCTTCTCACTTCCCCCCCTCGTTCGCCGCCAACCATCGCAGAGCACGACGTCCTTTTCGAACTCGAGTTTGTCTACTGTCGCCATGGTTGCTGCGCACTGCACACCGCCGCGCGCTTCTGCCGGAAGGTATCGTGTGCCGCCCAGGCCGCAACGAGCAGCCAGCGGCAGCAGTAGCAGGTTGCAGCAGCAGGCAGCAGTAGACATCAGCAGCAGCAGGCAGCATTAGCAAGCCTAACTAGCAAGCAGCAGCAGCCTGCAGCAGTAAGCAGTCGCGCCAGCAGCAGCACTAAGCCGCAGCAAGCAGCAGCGCGCACAAGCAAACTCCAGCGCGTAGCGGCGAGAAGCAGCAAACAGCTGAAGTAAGCGCCAAGCATCATCAAACCCTCCTCATCAACAAGTAGTGTGAGCGGACGAGCAGGCAACGAAGCAATCACGCGAACAAGATACCAGGCTAACTTGCAAGCAGGCAAGCCAGGATTGATGTTTCAGGTCAGCATGCTAGCAGCCACGCAGGCAGGACAGCGCGCAAGCAGGCAAGCTGTCATCACCATTGAGCGCGAATGCGTAAGTATTCGCGGTTGTAAGTCGAAGGGGCAGCAATAGTCAGCTACAGCGCTGGGATGAGCGCGTGGTTGTCAGTCCAAGGGACAGCGATAGTCAGCTACTGCGCTGGGATGAGCGCATGCGAGAAGTGCGGGCAGTGGCAACGGGCTGTGTCGATGCTGGGCGAGATGTGGAGAACGAAGCTGGACCCCGACGTTGTCGTCCCTGCAATTCTGGGACGCGTGCGCGTGGGAAGGGTCTTTGGGCCAAGCGTCTTCTCGGCCCTCCCCCGGGGCTGCCCCGAGCGGCTTCGGCGCTGCCTTGCGGGCCCTGGGCGGCCCCGGGGCGGCCCAAGATGTCTCCCATCGGCCCAGGGCTCGAGCTAAACGGTGTTTGGGCAATTTTGACATCGTTTTGCAGCAAATATGGAACGAAGACAGAACTAGGGATGACGAAAGCAAAACGAAAACGGAAAACACTGTCTAACTCGAGCCCTGCGTCGGCCCGAGACAGACTGCGACAGGGCCCGAGATGGCAGGAGGTGGCTCCCCCAGAGCGGCCTGATAGGGCTTCCAGGAGGCCCCGCGCGGCTCCAAGAGGCCCCCAAGAGGCCCCTTCGAGGAGGCTTTCCGGGAGCCGTGCGGCAGGGCACGGGAAGCTCAACAACTTCGACCACCCCAGGACAACCAATGTCGCTGTGCCCCCCGGCCTCGTGACGCGAGGCAGCTGCAAGGCGGCTCCAGAGGAGCCTCGCTGGCTGGCCCCTCGCGGGCCCCCTAATCAAGGGGTCCTCTGGGGGCCCCCTTGGGGCCTCCTGGGCTGCATTCGGGGCCTCCTGGGGCCGCCTGGGTCCGCCTTCGGGCAGTCCTCGACCCCTTCTGGAATTCTGGGCTGCCCCCGCAGCCTGCGCTGCGATCCCGGCCGCGGCGCGGGCGAACAGTGCGCCCCCCCCCCAAGCCGTTCCGCGGAGCGCCCGCCCGGAGCGCCCCCCGACGGGCGCTCCCCGACGGGCTCCGAGCGTCGACGCATCGTGCCCGCACGGCCTCCTCAGGCAGCCCAGAGACGGCGGCTGCGGGCGGAGGGCCGCGAAATGGCCCAAGAGGGCCCCCAGATGCAGAGACACCCGGGAGGCCTCGAAGAGGAGGGTCCGAAGAGAGTCCATACGACGGGCTTCCCGCCGCCCCTAAGAGGCCTCCAGCGCTGCCCGAGAGGGCAGCAACATGGCCGAAGAGGGCCTCCAGAGGCTCCTCGAGGTGACCCCAAGACGGCCCAAAGGGGGCCGCAGAATTATCGAAGAGGGCCCCCATGGGGCTCCAGAGAGACCCCTTGGGAGGCCCCGAAGAGGGTCCGCAGAGAGTCCAGACGGGCTTCCCGCAGCCCCCAAAGGGCGAAGGACGTTCCAAAGACCATTCCGAGATGCACCAGAGTCTCCCAAGAGACTCCGATGGTTGTCCAGGAGCTCCAAGGAGAGCGCCACCAGCCACCGCACCATTTTGCCCTATTGGGAGCCCCAGAAGCCCCAAAGAGAGCCTCAGTCCCCAAAGACAGCCTCAGAGCTTCCCAAGAGACTCCGATCATTCCGACGGAGCTCCCAGGAGAGCTTCCCGCCCCCCCCCACCTCTCGCCGTGTGTGGCTCCCTGGCAGTCTGGAACAAAGCCCCTGGCCCAGAACACGTCCCGACGAAACTTCTCTCCCCGCTCTCCTCTCTTCTCTTCCTCCTCGTTCTCCTCATTCTCCTCCTCCTCCTCCTCCTCTGGATTTCTGGATTTCTGGCAAAGAGTCCCGAACGTGCAAGCACGTGCAGGCCTCGGAAGGGATGGGAGGAGGAGGGAGAGCATTGCCTCCTCCTCCTCATCCTCGCGCCTGTGGTGGCGCACGCGCGCGCGCGCGCCTTGCTGAAGCTGTGGCTCACCGTCGTGAGCATCACGTTCAGCACACGGCGCGGCGCTCTCTCTCTCTCTCTCTCTCGCCCCCTCCCCCCCCCCCGCTCCCTAAGCACTCTCACCCTCCCACCACCAATCCTCATTCCAAACGTCGTGCCCCACAACCTGCAGGCCACAGGCGGTCACGTCCACACGCGTCGGGGCCCCCATGCGCCAGCACCCGCACCTCTGGCTGCTTCTGGGGCCTCACCGCTCCTCTCACGGTGCTGCTGGCTCCGACTTGCATGTCTCAGAGCGTGAATTACCTACCCCGCTTTCGCTTCCAGGCAAAAACCAAGTCATGCCACGCGCCTCCTCGTCAAGCGGCCTGACCAGTACAGGCCGCAATCTGGCATCGCTTGGTATCTCTTGGAAGCGAGGGTGGTCAAAAGCGAGGTAGGTTTGCTTTCCCCCGAATGTCGTGGATTTCCCACGGGTGCACAGCGCGTGCACACGAGTCTCGCCTACCATGCCAGGAGCAGCGCCTGGGAGCCCGGCTGTCGTGGCAAGGCCCGGGAGGGCCCGCCTGGAGGGCCTGCGCTTGCCAGGCGGCCCGGGCGAGTGCAAAGAGGCCTCCAAGATCGCCGAAGATGCCTCCAGTGCGGCGCCGAGTATGGCCTCAAGATGGCCCCAGATGGCGTCCAGGCGGCCTCGGAGGGCCCCAAGCTAGCCCAAGACGGCCTCCAGACGGCCGAACAACGATCCAAAAGGCCCCCAGAGCGCTCCAAGAGCACTCCCAGCAAAGCTTCCCAGTGCAAAAGTCGAAAGTTGTTTTTCGGTTTGTCAAGCGTTTTTTTAGCATACGCCACTTTTCGGCCCTTGCAGCGTCCACGACGGCCCAACAGCTCCCAAGATCGCCCCAAGCTGGCCCAAGAGACTCCCCAAGAGAATCCAAGGCGGCTCGGGAGAGCCCAAAGACGACCCAAGAGAGTCTCAAGATTGCCCAGACGCGCCCAAGACGACCCAAGATGGCCCAGAGATGGCCCACTAGAGTCCCAGGTGCACCCCAAGACGACCTCAAGAGCGCTCCCAGAGAAGCCCCAGGACGGCCCAAGAGGCGCCCAAGACTGCCCAAGATCGCCACGAGATGGCCCCGCCGCGTTCCCCTGCTGGGGTACCTGCGGATTTTGCTCCACGGATGCACACTAGTCTTCTACACCCTAACGCCGGGGGCGCCGCGTGCCAGAAGGACGCGGGACCCAGTGGCTCAAAGCCGCTCCGGGCTGGCCCCGGGGCGCTCCCGGCCGCCCAGGGAAGCCTGAAGACGGGCCAAGAGGGCCCCAAGACGGCCCCCGAGTGCCCCGAGACGCCCAATGATCGGGCCAAGACGCCCAAGATTGGCCCAAGGACGGCCCAAGAGGTCTCAAGACGCTCCAAGAGGCCTCTCCAGAGGCTCCCGAGGGGCAACAATCGCTTAATTTCATATGTTTTTTTTACGTTTTTTGCAGTCTCTCTTTATCGGCTTCCCGACCCTCGAAGACCGCCCAAGAGGCCCCCAAGACCGCTCCAAGACTGCCGAAGAGGCCTCCCAGACAGCCCAAGAGGGCCCCAAGATGGCCCAAGAGCCCCCCCAAGACGACCCAAGACGGCCCGAAGAGGGCCCCACAAGGGGGGAGCCCGAACTGACCTTTTCGCGCCCTCCGCTCCAGGATGATCCCAGACACCGCCAGCTGGCCCCAAGGGGCCCCCCAGACGCCCCCGAAGGCGCCACAGTGCCAGAAGACAGCCCAGGAGGGCCCCAAGAGGCCCTCAAGACGGGCCCCGTGAGGCGAAGACCCTGGATTTCCCGCGTGTTTTGGAAGGTTTCAGCGTTTTCACCTTTTCGGAGCCTTCACGATCGCGCCACGATGGCCCAAGAGGGCCCCACGAGAGCTCCCAGATGGCCCAAGAGGGCCCCAAGACGGCCCAAGAGGGCCCCAGGAGTGCCTCACGAGGTGAAACTCCAACTGGCATTTCGCGCCCTCCGCTCCAAAATGAGCCCAGAGACCGCCAGTTGCCCTCGAAGAATCCCCCCAGGTGCCCCAGAAGGCCCCACAGTGCAGGAAGACGGCCCAAGAGGGCTCCAAGAGGTCCCCAAGAAGGGCTCCGAGACGCTAAAATGATAGATTGTCCTTGAATTTTTAGAGGGTTTCAGCGTTTTCGCTTCTGTGGAGTTCGCGCTCCCAGACGGCTCCAGGGCCCTCAAGAGGGCTCCTAGACGGTCCAAGAGGGCCCCAAGACGGCCCAAGACGGCCCCAAGACGGCCCAAGTCGGTTCCAAGAGGACCACACGAGGGGAAATTCGAATTGACATTTCGCGCCCTCCGCTCCATGATGATCCCAGACACCGCCAGCTGGCCCCCAGGAGGCCCCCCAGACGCCCCAGAAGGGCCCCAAAGAGGCCCAAATCAGGCCCCCATGGACCCTCGAGAGGCCAGAAGACACCCCCGAAGCCGCCTCCAAGAGGCTTCCGAGGGAAGATCCCTCGGAGAGCTCTGGAACCGCGCCGGCCACCCAGGAAAATAAGGCGCCGATGCACCTCTTATTCTCTTCCCTCCTTTGCAAAGGCTCCAGGCTGAGGTCGGGATCAAGCAGCAAGAAGCGACATAATCAAGCGGCAAACACCGAAGAAAGACAAAACGAAAAGCCGCGAGTGGCAACACGCAGCACTCAGCAACAGCAAGCGGCTGTAAAAGGCACTGGGCAGAAGCAAGCACGCTTGTCCAGACACCGCTCGCCACCTCGAGCAGATGTCGTGGACGTAGTCCACGGGTCAGCCCTAGTCTCTACTACATTGCAGGGGCACGTGCGTGCGGGAAGGGCGCAGGCTCAAATGTCTCAAAACCGCCCCGGGCCGGCCCCGGGCCGCCCCGGGCCGCCCAGGCAGGCCCCAGGACATGTCGAGAGGGCCCCCCAGAAGCCCCCAAGACGGCCCCGGAGAGCCCCGGCACGCTTAAAGATGGACCCAAGCCGCCCGAGATTCGCCCCAGGCGGCCCAAGAGGCGTCCAAGACGCCCGAAGAGGCCTCCCAAGAGGCCTCCCAAGAGGGCCCCGAGCGACAGAAATCGTCGACTTCTACTGTGTTTTTCGATGTTTTCGGCCTCCTCGCCTCGTCGGCTTCCCGACGCTCCAAGACGGCCCAAGAAGCCCCCCCGACCGCTCCAAGACGGCCGAAGAGGACCCCAAGAGAGCCCCAAGACGGGCCAGGAGGGCCCCCAGACGGTCCCAAGACGCCCCAGGACGGCCCCAGGACGGCCCAGGAGGCGCCCAAGACGGCCCAAGAGGCACCCAAGACGACCCCAGGAGCGGCCCAAGACGGCCCACGACAGCCCAAGAGGCGCCGAGGCGGGTCTCAGACGGCCCCAAGACGGCCCAAGAGGCACCCAAGACGGCCCGAGAGGGCCCTAAGAGCCCCCCCGGGAGGCCCAAACGAAGGCCGAAGAGGCTCCGAAACGGCCCCCACGAAGCCTTCAGTGCCTTCAGCATTCCCTCCAGGAGCGGGGGAGCGGACGAGAGGCGACAGGCATATCGCAGGCAAAAACGCCCCAAGAGATCCCCAAACGGCCCCCACGAAGCCCTAAGTGGCCTCAGAATTGCTTCCAGGAGGGGGGGAGCGGACGAGAGGCGACCGGCATATCGAAGGCACAAAAGAACAATGTTGGACGCTCCGAGGGCCTTCGATGTTTCTCCGTTGGGGAGAGTCGTCGTAGGATCGACGATTGCCGACCGAGGGCAGCGAATCCAGTGGAGGCCCAAGAGGCCCCCAGGAGCCCAAAAGAGATCCCCAAGAGGTGCCACGGGGCTTAAAAACTGCTTCGAAGCGAGGGGGGCGGACGAGGGGACCGCCTCAGGAGGTTTTGGACGGTTTTGGGCATCAAAATCGTCCGCTTTACGACGGTTTTGGAAGGATTTTGGCCTTCTCGCCTTTTCCGCTTTCCGACGCTCGAAGACGGCCCAAGAGGCCTCCAAGAGCGCCCCAGAACGGCCCAAGAGGTTTCCAAGAGCGCCCCAAGACAGCCCAAGAGGGCCCCAAGACGACCCAAGAGACGCTCAAGACGGCCCACGAGGGCCCGAAGACAGGCCCAAGAGGGGGCCAAGAGGGGGACCACGGACCGAAAATCCGAGCCTTCCGCCCCAAGAGGGCGCCAGGAGGCCCAAACAGGCCCCCAAGAGGCCCCAAGGGGCCGCCAAGAATCCCCCGAAGAGGCCCCAGGAGGCTCCCAAGGAGCCCAAACGAGGCCCCTACAGAGGCCCCAACAGCTTCCAAAATGGCCCCGAAGAGGCCTCGAGCCCGCCTCCGAGCTTCCTCGCCGCGAGGGTGCCAACACGGCCCCAGACCGGCCCAGGACGGCCCAAGGCGCGCTCAAGACGGCCCAAGACGATTCCAAGACGGTCCCAGGAGGGTGCGCCCAGGACGGCCCAAGGACGCGCCCGTTCGGGGCCTCAAGACGGGCCAAGATGGCAAGAGAGTCCCAGCTGGCAAAAATCGTTAATTTTCCATTGTTTACTGTTACACCCTTTGCGTTTCCCGCCGTTTCGGCGGTCCGATGCACCAAGAGGCCCCAGAAAGTCCCAGGAGGGTCCGAGGAACCGCCCAGGAAGGCCCCAAGACGGGCCAAGACGGACCCAGCACAACCCAAGGCGCGCTGCGACGGCTCAAGACGGCTCCAAGACAGCCCCAAGAGGGTGCCAACACGGCCCCTGCTGGGCCCAGGACGGCCCAAGGAGGCGCACAGGAGGGGCCCAAGACGACTCCAAGGCGGCCTCCTCACGGTCCCAGACGGCTCCAAGACAGCCCCACGAGGACCCCGATGGGCCCAGGACGGCCTACGGACGCGCCCATGAGGGGCCCACGACGAACCAAGACGGCCCCATCAGGGCAAACGGCGCCCTCAAGACGGGCCTAGACGGCTCCAAGACGGCCCTTTGAGGGAGCCAACGCGGCCCCACACCCTTCGGGCGCACACTTGGGGGGGCTGGGAGCTTGCGACAAGTCTCCCACATTCATTGTCCTGCCCCATTCTGTTCGCCTGGAGGCCTCCTCCAACCCTGTGGGCGAACAAGAGGAATCCCAGCGGGACGCCAACCCTGGGGCCCGTGGGCCCCGCGCCGCTTGGGCAGAAGACGAACGCCGGGTCTGACAGGCCAGCTACCGCCCCCCTTTGCCCGATATGCTGTGCCATTCTGTTCCCCCAGGGGCCTTGGCAAACTCTTCGGGCCAAGCAGACCGGACCCCTGGGACAGCAGCCAATTGATATGACCCTGGGACCTCTCCGCATTCTTCGGACGAGCATCTGGGGGGCCCAGGAGATTCGGACATGTCTTCCCCATTCCTTGCCCTGTCCCGTTCTGTTCGCCCGAAGGCCTCCACAGACCCTCTGGGCGAACAGAATGGGACATGGCGAACAAACCCTCCCGTTGGCGGTGATGCGACTGGATCGCACCATCAAGGCGCGCCCGGAGGTGATGGCCGACCCAACAGCGGTTTCTCTTAAGAGTTCACTGGATTTCAAATTTTCTTGAAGCTCTCTTGGGCCCTCCCTGTAGATCCTTGCGAGCCTCCCCGGCGCTTTCGGTGGCTTTCCCCGATGGCCTCCCGAGCCCTTCCCCGAGCGCTCCTGAGACGCCTCAGATGGGCTTCGACTTCGACGCACATCCCCGAGAGACTTCGAAACTGTCCTCGATAGGAGGGGGGTGAACGAGCAGTGCGCTGGGCCAAGCTGCTGCAGCGCTGCACGAAGGCGCGGTCTCGCTGCCGCCGCCCGAGCCGCCGCCGTGTTTGTAGATTTTCGGTACAATCTGCGCCGTTCCTCCGAGAACCATTCCAGAAAGATGTCGTGGACGGAGTCCACGGGTCAGCCCTCGTCAGCTACAACGCTGGGATCACCGCGTGCGAGAAGGGCGGGCAGTGGCAGCGGGCGTTGGCGCTGCTCGGTAAGATGCAGGAAGCGAAGCTGGATCCCGCCGTCATCAGCTACAACGCTGGGATCAGCGCATGCGAGAAGAGTGGGCAGTGGCAGCGAGCGCTGGCGCTCTTCGGCGAGATGTGCAAGGCGAAGCTGGAGCCTACCGTCATCTACCCTCTAATGCCGCGGACAGCGCGCGCGAACAGAGCGAGCGGTGGCATTGAACGGGTCCACTCCGGGCCAGTCCAGGGGCGCCCCCCGGGGCCCGGGCCGCTCCGGGCAGGCCCTCGAGGCCGCCTCGGGAGTCTCCGGAGAGGCCCCGATGGCGCAGGAGACGGCGCAAGACTGCTGAACATGGCCCCCAGACAGCCCAAGAGGCACCCAAGACGCTCCAGAACCGCCCCAAGAGACTGCCAGGGAGCGCTTCCGGAGGCCGAAATCATCGATGTTCCATGTTTTCCATGTTTTTTGGGGTGTTCTCACTTTTTCTGCCTTCAGCCGCCCAAGACGCCCTCAGGATGCTTCCACGAGCGTCCCAACACGGCCCAAGGAAGCCCCAAGACGGTTCCTAGGCGGCCCCCAAGACGGCCCCAGAAGGTTCCCAGCCGGCCTCGCAGGGCCCCAAGACGGCCAGAGAAGGCCCTAGGACAGCCCAAGAGAGCCTGAAGATGGGCCAAGAGGGACCCCAGAGCCCCCCCCAGAGGCCGAATGTATTGTTTTTCCCACGTTTTTGTTCCTATGTTTTTTCGCGTTCTACCTTTTTCGGGCTTCAGCCGCCCAAGACGCCATCAGGGGCCTCCCAGATCGTGTCAGAGCGGCCACAGAGGCTCCCAAGAGCGCCCCACGATGGCCCAAGAAAGCACGAAGACTTTTCCAAGACGGCCCCAAGACGATCCCGAAGGGCCCCAAGAGAAGTCCCAGAGAGGCCCAAAGGGTCCCAGAGGACCCGCCTGAAGCCCCAGGGTAGGCCCAAGCAGGCCCCAAGAAGCCCCAGAAGGGCTTTCAGAGCGGCTTCAAGTGGATTCCAAGAGAGCCCACAAGCAAGAGGAGTGACGCGACTTGCTTGTGGATTCTCTCTGGGCCCACTTGGGGCACTTGGGGCGCTCCCCGCGCGCTCCCGGAGGCCGCCTCGCAGGGTAGGCAGGAGAGGGCCCCACGAGCCTACAACGAGGCTTCCAAGACGGCTTGAAGTGCATTCCAAGAGAGCCCAAAAGCAAGTGAAGTGACGCCACTTCCATTTGGGCCCTCTTGGGGTGCACTTGGGGCCCTGTTGGAGCCTCCCAGGAGCGCGCCTCATTTCTGCCCGATACCCCGGGATAGTCCCTGAGTTCATCGTTCGCATTCGAGCTACAGCGGCGGGACAGAGAATCCCACAACATGTTAGATGCGGCCGACGTCATCGTCGTTCGCCCACACCCGATGAGTAATGCGATCAGAAGATCTGGTTCCTTCTGTGTCGCAGGCACGCCCTGCAGGCACTTCCCCCCTCGACGTCGATAGCGGTGATCTCACCACAGGCACACTAGTCAGCTACGGCGCTGGGATAAGTGCGTGCGAGAAGGGCGAGCAGTGGCAGCAGGCCTTGGCGCTGATCCGCAGGGCTCGGGGGGCGAGGCTCGAGCCCGACGTCGTCTTCTTTACTGCATTGCGGGGCCCTGTGTGTCTAAGACGGGTCGGGGCCCGAGTGGGGCTGGGGCCCGCCCAGGCGACCTGGGAGGCCCCTCGAGAGCCACATGAGCTCGAAGAGGGAGCCCGGATGCCGCCAGATGCCGCCAAGGTGACCTCGGCAGGCCCCGTATAGCCCTCCACAGGGGCCCGGAAGGGCCGAGGCTGCCTCCAAGAGCGGCCCGACACGGAGAACCCCCAGGAGGGCCCCGCAGATGCCGAACTCACTTATGTTGCTGCGCCTTTTGAGGAGTTCTCTCGTTCGCACTGTCGCAGGCTTCCGCCAGTCCAAGACGGCCCAAGGTGCAAGGTGCTTCTTGGATCTTCTTGGATGGCCCGAAAACGACCCAAGAGGCCCCACGAGAGGGGCCCCAGGCTGGCCCAGGAGGCCACACGATGCCCCGAGAGCTCCCAAGATAGCCCCAAGGCGGCCCGAGAAAGCTCCAAGACGGCCCAAGAGGCCCCAAGCTGTCTCCAGGATGACAGGGCCCATACATGATCTAGAGCTGCCCCCCCCTCCCCGCCGCAATGCTAATGCGATCAGGCCCCCCCCCTCCCCCACTGGATGGGTACGCCTGCGAGCCTCGCGAAGGCCTCGCGAGTGGGATCGCTCCCCCTCCCCCTCCCTGTGGTCGTGGGCCTGCGGGCGTGGCGTGGCGGAGGGTGGACGTTCCGCTGCTTTCGCCGAGAGTTTCCCGAGATCGCAGTCGCATGGCCTCGCGAATGGGATCGCTCCCCCGTGATCGTGGACCTGAGTGGTGGTGGGTGCCAGTGCACCCCCCTCCCCCTGAGGGAGTGGGGTGCTTCGTCGTCGTCGTCGTCGTCGTCGTCGTCGTCGTCGTCGTCGTCGTCGTCGTCGTCGTCGTCGTCCGTCGTCGTCTTCCGTCGGCCTCGTCGTCTTCCGTCGTCGTCGGAATCGGCGTCGGCGTCGGCGTCGGCGTCGGCATCGGCGTCGGCGTCGGCGTCGGCGTCGGCGTCGGCGTCGGCGGCGGCGGCGGCGGCGTCGGCGTCGGCGTCGGCGTCGTCGTCGTCGTCGGCGTCGTCGTCGTCGTCGTCGTCCGTCGCCGTCTTCCGTCGGCGTCGGCGTCGTCGTGGTTGCCTTCCGTCGGCGTCGTCGTCGGCGGCGGCGTCGGCAGCAGCGGCGTCGTCGTCGTCCTCGTCTTCCCATCCCATGGGGCCTGTGGGGCCTTTGAACCGTCGACCCGGGATCATATACGGCCTCAAGACGGCCCAAGAACAACCCAAGCCCCCCCCCGAGGCCTCGTAGACGCCCCCTCGGGCCCCCAAGAGGTCCCCAAAGGCCCCCCGAGAGGTCCCCTCCCAATACACGGCAAACGGACCACAGTTACACAGCCTCGGTGCTGTGGGGGGTGGGGGGAGGAAAGGCTTCCAAGAGGTCCCCAAGATGTTGTCATAGGCCACCGAGAGCCCCGGTAGCACGTCCAAGGTCGCCTCCAGGAGGCTCCAAGAGGTCTCCCTTCAGAGGCATCCGAGGACTCCGACGAGACTCCGAAGAGACCCACGGGAGCGCCCTCCATCGGTCAAACTGTGTCCCGAGAGGCCTCCGCGATGGCCCAGCAAGCTTCCCAGACGCCCCAGTGTCCCCCCCATCCAGGCACGCAGTACCACTCAGCGACACGCAGCAGCACGCAGCAGCACGCAGCAGCACGCAGCAGCACGCAGCACTGCCACGCCCTATCAAGCAGCAGCACGCCACGGCCCCCCCCCCAGGCCGCAGCGACGAAAAGCGACCGCATGTATATAGGATGTTGCGGCAGCCAGCGCCGAGCATCAGCAAGCGGCAGGGTGCGGACGGACAAACAAAAAAGCGAGCTGCCAGAAAGCAGGCGATTCGGCAACACGACTATCAGATCCCCAGCCTGGCCACAGCGATAGCAGAACTCAGCAGGACAGCAGGCCGTCAGACCGGCAGGCAAGCGATGCCCACCAAACCACGGACTTCCTTGCGGCTCCCAGGAGGAGGAAGAAAGGAGGAGGAGGAGGAGGAGGAGGAGGAGGAGGAGGAGGGGGAGGAGGAGGAGGAGGAGGAGGAGGAGGAGGAGGAGGAGGAGGAGGAGGAGGAGGAGGAGGAGGAGGAAGGAGGAGGAGGAGGAGGAGGAGGAGGAGGAGGAGGAGGAGGAGGAGGAGGGTGGAGGAGGGAAGCGGCTGCTGGAGCGCCTCGGTGCGCGGCGGCGGCGGCGCGGGCCGCGGGCCGTGGGCCCCAGGGCTGGCGGGCCTGCGGGGGGCCGCTGCGCGCGAGGGGGGTCCTGCCCGTCGGCCCCTGTGCAGCACCGTTTGGTGCTTGGGACTTGTCGTGCGTGACTCACGGGCCCCGCGGCCTTTCTAGGCCTCCTAGATGGGGTCCGAGTAGATGGGGTCCGAGGATCGCGCCGCATCGCCGATGCATCGACGATGCGGCTCGATGCGGAGCCCGATCTTCTCCACGCCGGTGTCGCCGATGCGTCGGCCCTGTGCAGCACCGTTTGGTGCTTGGAGCTTTCAGAGCGTGAATTACCTACCCCGCTTTCGCTTCCAAGCAAAACCAAGTCATACCCTACGCCTCCTCGTCAAGCGGCCTGACCAGTACATGCCGTAGTCTGGCATCGCTTGGTATCTCTTGGAAGCGAGGGTGGTCAAAGGCGAGGTAGGTTTGTTTGCCCCCTAAACTTGTTGTGCGTGACTCACGGGCCCCGCGGCCTCTGATCAGGAGAGGAAAAAACCACACAGACACAATTCATCCTCGATTTCCCGGGAAAATGTGGGAAACTATGGGCAGGGGGGGGAGGACAAACACCCATAACATATGAAAAAATATGGGGAATATGTTTATTTGTGTGTATTTATTTGTGTGTCCTGGGGCCCCCTTCATTTGAAGAGAAGAAATGCCCCCACCGTAGGTCCCCCAAAGGCATTGGAGACGCTCCACAGGGCCCTCAGGAGGCCCCAAGACACCCCCGAGGGGTCGCCCCGCTTCCCCTCGGCCGCCGCTCCTCTCTTCGCGCTCCTCGCTCCGCGCTGATTCTTCTTCGCGTCTCCCCCTTGCTCCTCGACCTCCTCGGCTTTGTCTCCTCGATCCTCCTCGATATCCTCGATTCTATATCCTCGATTCTGTCTCATTCCTCAATCTCCTCGATCTCCTCGATTCTATCTCCGCGATCCCCTCCCCGCAGCAGGCTGCGCCAGGAAGCTGAGGTGCAACGAGAAACAGCACCCTGCAGCAGCAGCGAGCAGTAGCAGCAGCAGCAGCGGCAGCAGCAGCGAACGGCAGCAGCACGAAGCAGGCAGCATCAGCGGCAGCAGAAGCGATCGTTTTCTGATTCGTTGTGTTGCCGACTTGGCGCGGGCCCTCACACCCCCCCTTCCCCCCCAACCCGTGGAGTAAGTGGATCTCGGCCGTCTTGGGCGCCTGCTTCGAGCAGGTGGGGTCTCCCCCGCAGGACGCGCTCTTGCAAACAGTGGCATCCAGCAGAGGTCTGGAGCCATACCCTCCCCCCCCTTCCGCCCAATGTGGGAACGCCCAATAAGCAAATGCTCACGTACAGCAGCAAGAAGCAGCAGCGGGCAGCGGGCAACAGCACGCACAGGAGCAGAACTGGCCACCAGCACCGCCCTGCAGGCACGCGCAGCAACGACACGCGGCCGAGGCAAGATTCACCAGCAGCACGCGACAGCGCCCGCCAGCAACCAGCGGCACGCAGCCGTGGAATGCGAGGAAGGATCGAGCCCCACGTTACCTGCTTCAGCTTTTCGGCAGCATGCCCACGTCGTGCGGGTTGTCCTAGTCATCTACAACGCTGGGGTCAGCGCGTGCGGGAAGGGCGAGCAGGGGCAGCGGGCTCTCGTGTTGTTCGGCGAGATGCGGGAGGCGAAGCTGGAGCCCGATGCCTTCACTACTACACTGCAGTCCCCCGCGTGTGCCAGGAAGGCCCTGCATCGACTTGGGCTTTGGCCGGCCCCCCCCGCGGCCTAGGAGGCCCTTGGAACGCCCCACGAGCTCGAAGAGGGAGCCAAGGTGCCACCAAAGTGACCCCGGAGGGTCCAAGGCAGCGTTCCACCGGGCCCGGCATGGCCGAAGTTGGCTCCAGGGCGACCCAAGACCCATACCAATCCCAGGCGTGCCCAGGAGGCATCAAGACGGCCCAAGGCAGCCCAAGAGAACCCTACGGCCCTAGATGGCCTGAGCTGGCTCCAGCATGGCCCCACGGATCCCCCAGACGGCACAAAAGACGAAACTGGAACAACCCACGCGCCCCCACAGACCTCCTAAATGCTCCGTCGGTCCCCATGAGACCCCAAGGGGCCCCCCAAGAGGTTCCCCAAGAGGTCCTCCAAGGAGACGCCCACAGGCTCCAAGAGGCCCCCGGGACGCCCAAAGACAAGGCTCCCCAGAGGCTTTCCCCCTGAGGCATCTGAGGGCTCGAGACTCCGACGAGACCCATGGGATCGCCCTCCGTCGGTCAAACTGCTCCGTGAGAGGCCCCCGCGATGGCCCAACCTGCTTCCCAGACGCCCCAGTGGCCCCCGGGCACGCAGCACCACTCGGCGGCAAGCGGCAGCGCGCAGCACTGCCACGCCGCATCGGGCAGCAGCACGCCGCGGCCAACACCAGGGTGCAGCGGCGAGAAGCGACAGCATGTACGTAGGAGGTTGCGGCAAGCAGCACCCGGCATCAGCGAGCGGCAGGGTGCGGACGGACAAGTAGTACCGCAGGCTGCCAGAGTGCAGGCGATTCGGCAGCACGGCCATCAGACCACCAGCCTGGCCACCACGACGGCAGGACAGCAGGCGGCCAGGCCAGCAGACGAGCCGTCCCCACCAGTCCACGGAGTCCCAAGGCTCCGTGGCGCTTGTCCAGGCCCGTCGCTCCTCACCCCTCTCTCATCGTTCCTTGCTCTTGTCGTTGCTCGTTCATCCTCTCCCCTCGCATCTCCCGCTTGCCAGCCCCACTCTGCCCCACGAGGGCCTTGAGGGCCCACTCAAGGACGCCCCATGGAGCCCTTCAACGGCTACCTCCTCCCTCCTCGCTCCTCGCTCCTACCTGCTCATTCCTTGCTCGTTTCTCGCTGCTCGGGCCTCGGGACCGACGTCAGCACTAGCGACGTTCGACAGCGTTTCTGCCGTTGCATCAAATACCAGCTCGGACAGATTTCGAGGACGCTAGCCCACGCGTCAGACCCAGTCAGCGAAATTCATGAAGGGGCAGCGGGCTCTACCGCGGATCAGCGATATGCGCGATGCCCATGCGGAGGCCGGCGTCAACATCGGTAACATTGGGCCAGCGCTTGCCCGACCAGACTACCGAGTCTGCGGGCGAGCTCCTCCGTGGTCCAAGCCGGGGCTCCAGGGAGGCCTGGCATGAGTCGGCCGCAGCATGATCACCTTTGTCGAGCTATTCGGACGTCTCAGACGTTCACCTAAAGCGACATGTGGGATTTCAAAGGCCGCGCCTTCGAGGATCGAAGGAGTTACCATCTCTTCCGCGGTGGAAGGCGGCGGACGGTCGGCGGAAGGCGGCGGAAGTAAAACGGCGGCGGCTCCGCAAGCGGAAGCTCGGCGGAAGCTGGCGGAAGCAAAAGTCGACCTCCCAAGAGACGACAACATGTTTGGGTTCAGGGTTTCCGCAATCGGTCACATGACTAGGGCGTGGGAGATAGACGAGCAGTGGCAGCGGCTTCTTGTGCTACTCGGGGAGATGTGGCGTCCACCATCATCAACTGTGGCGCTGGCAGCATGGTGCGCGGGAAAACCCGACTCCAGCGTCAGCTGGAGCATGTTGGGGTCAACGCGTGTAAGAAATGAAGGCTGTATGCCTTGACCAGGGAGGTGGCTCGTCCCTGGTCCGAGCTTGGGAGTTCTCCTGGGCGAGGCGCGGTCTCAGAGTCGCGGCAGGCAAGCAAGGCATCAGGCACGCCAGCCGGCATGCAAACGGGCAAGCGGGAAGGGCGTTGTGAGGCCAGCTCGGCAGCAGCCACGCAAGCATGACAGCACGCAAACACGCAAGGAGGCAAGCACGCAAGCGATCCTCTCCCTTGCGTGCCCTTGTCAGCTTCAGCGCTGGGATCAGCGCGTGCGAGACGGGCGGGCAGTGGCAGCGGGCTTTGGCGCTGCTCAGCGAGATGTGGGAGGCGAAGCTGGGACCCGACGTCGTCAGTTTCAGCGCTGGGATCAGCGCGTGCGACAAGAGCGGGCAGTGGCAGCGTGCTCTGGAGCTGCTCAGTGACATGTGGAAGGCGAAGCTGGAGCCCAACGTCATCTCTACACTACGATGCCGCGGTCAGCGCGCGCGAGCAGGGTCTCTATAGTGGCAGCGAAATGACCCTCCAGGGCCGCTCTGGCCGGCTCCGTGGGCCCGGCATGCACGATGGCCCGAGGCGGCCCATGCGCGCTCTGAGGCTGTCCACGATGGCCCCCAAACGGCCCAAGAGGCTCCCATGGCGCCAGCCTCGAGAGGATCCCCAGACGGCCTCCATGGGCAAAGTTTGCTGAGCTCTCTCTCTCCCGGGCTCCAGGCAGCCCACGAAGAGGGGGGGAGGAGGAGGAGGAGGAGGAGGAGGAGGAGGAGGAGGAGGAGGAGGAGGAGGAGGAGGAGGAGGAGGAGGAGGAGGAAGAGGAGGAGGAGGAAGAGGAGGAGGAGGGAGGAGAAGAGGCAAGGGAAGCCAGGAGAGGCCCGAAAGAGCCCCAAGAGGGCCCCCAACGGCCCTGGGAGCTGTCATTTTGAAGGCTGCTGCGAAGCGACGGATCAGAGAGCACTTCTGGGCTGGGGGCTTTCCCAGGAGTCCTCAAGCATCTGGCTGGACGGTTCTGGAGTCCCCCAGCTGGCCACAAGGGACGCCAAGAGAGGCCCGAGAAAGCCCCAAGAGGGGCCCACACCTGCTTTGGGAGCTGTCACTTTGAAGGTTTCTCAAGGTGACGGATCAGATGACCCTTTGGGCCCTTTGGGGGCCTCCTCGTGCCGGCGACGCTTCACAAGCATAGCCCGTAAGTTCTTTGACCGCGCCAATCCACACCACAGGCACACACTAGTCAGCTACAGCGCTGGGATCAGCGCGTGCAAGAACGGCAACCAGTGGCAGTGGGCCTTGGCGCTGCTTAGCGAGATGCGGAAGGCGAAGCTCGAGCCCAATGCCATCTCTCCATTCTAGGGTGGGGGGCACTGCGAGCAGGAAAGGTGGGCGCCCAAGGTGGCACACCTCGGCCACGTCCAAGATAGCCAAGAGGGCCCCAAGAGAGCTTCACGACGTTCCGAGAGAGGCGCTATCCCAAAAGGGCTCCACGACGCGGCCCCGGAGAGCTCACGCAAAAGCCACAAAATCCAGAGAAGCCCCAAGGCGGCTCAAGATGGCGCAAGAGGCCCCCAACACGCCCCCAGACGCCGCCAAGAGGACTCCTGAGAGGGCCTCCAGGAGCAAATATGAACCCAGCGCGACTCTAAATGCGGGAACGCTTCCACAGCGGCATTTCTTGGCATCGCTTGGCATTGCATTGATTTTCTTTGCAAGAAAGTCAGAGCAACCCGAACAGAGCCCCAACACAGACGCAAGACCGCCCCTCGATCACCCCAACAAGGTTCAATCAAGTACGGGCGCCCCCAAGAAGGTTGCCAGAGTGCCCCAAAAAATTTCAGCAGGGAGCCCCGAGAGACCCCAAGGCGAGCCCACGGTTTTCTCGCAGACCGCCGGATAGCCCCCCCAGCACCCGCCGAGGCGGCCCCGATGCCCAGGCATGTTCCCCGACAGGCCCCCACGGCGGCACCGACGTTGCTCCCACGAGACCGTTGAGAGGCCAAACCGCTGAAAGGTGGTATGGCTTGGCATGTTGCTGGCCTCTCTGCCTGCATGGCCCGAGTCGGGGCCAGCTGCGCCCAAACTGGTACAGTGGGATCCCCGAGTGGCTCCCAGACTGGCACAACACTGCCCTTGCAGTCAACCCGCATGGTAAGCACGGGCGATTTTCCAAGATCTCCCTTGCAGCCTCCCCCTTCGGTCCATCCTTTGGCCACTTTCGTTGGCCGCGCCCCAAGTGTCGACGTGGCCTTCCAAGGCCCTTGCATCCTTATCGTGCGTCCTTCTACATGTGGCGTACGCCATTCCGCCGACCCCCACAAGGAGTGAGCGGCCGGATGCCTGGGATCCTTCCCCTTCGGCCCATATTTGGCTACTTTCGCTGGCCGCGCCCCGCTCGCAAAGTGTCGACGTGGCCTTCCAAGGCCCTTGCATCCTCATCGTGCGTCCTTATTCTACAGGCTGACCGTAGTGGGTCCAAGGCTGCACACGAAGGCTTGGTCCAAAGTAGCCTGAAGGCGCTCTGTTTGCGCGTCGTTCCCTCCTCCCCCCCCTCCTCCTCCTCCTCCACCTCATCCTCCTCCTCCTCCTCTTCTCCTCCCTCCTCTTCCTCCTCCTCCTCCTCCTCCTCTTCCTCCTCCTCCTCCTCCTCCTCCAACTCCAACTCCAACTCATCCTCCTTCTTCTTCTCCTCCTCCTCCTCCTCCTCCTCTTCCTCCTCCTCCTCCTCCTCCTCCTCCTCCAACTCCCCTATCCCCCTCCCCCGCAGGCAGGTATTCTGGACAAAAGATCCATCAGCCTGCCATGCACTGTGCTCACTGGTTCACCAAGGTCAGTTTTTGATCCTCGCGGATCACTCGTTTCTCCCTCATGCCTCTTCGATCCTCTCACGGGCAGCAGGTGGCGTCAACAAGCAGAAGTAGCGACGAGCAGCACCCTGCAGCATCAATCACCAACAGCGAGCAGTAGCACGCAGGAGTAAGCAGCAGCAGTGACAGCACGCAAAACAACAAGCAGCATCACGCAGCAGGCAGCAGTGTAGCTTGCAGCAGCGCGCGGCATGAAGAACAGGCCGTCAGCAGCGCCAGGCAGCCAAGACCAGCAACAGCAAACAGCAGCGGTAAGTACTACCAACACCACGCAACCGCGGCAGCAAGCAACACCACTCAGCACAATGCACGCAGCATTAAGCAGCACCCATCAGCAGCACGCACCGGCCAGCACCGGTCCGCAGCGGGAAGAAGCATCGGCACGCAGGCCCGACCACAACGATGTGCAGCTTGGTCGTTGCCCTTGCTGTGTTTTTCGTTTCGTGTTTCGTTGTTGTTCCGTTATTGTGCTCGTTTTTATGTGAATCGCGGTCGAATTCAAACAGTTTTTTTTTTTGGGGGGGGGGGCGCGTTTCGTTGTTCGTTCTGTTCTGGTGCGTTTCCAAGTTTGCGTTTCGTTTTTTGATTTGTTTGTCCCGTTCGTTCCGCGGTTCGTTTCGTTGTCCGTTTTGTTTCGCGCCGCCGTTGTCCTTCGAGCTTCTGATTGCGCTTGATAAAAATCTGGATGATTGCTTGATGTTCGGTGCGTTGTTCGTTTTGTTGGTGATTGTGTTCTTCGTTTTCGATGGCCCGATGTTGTTTCGCTTCGTTCTTTCACGCTGTTTTGTTGCGCGCCTGGCCTGACCTCCAGCCTGGTCCCTAGCCTCTGCCGTAGCCCTAGCCGCAGTCATGGGCGTTCGTGTCGTTGTTCGTTTCGTTTCGTTGTTTCTTTTTGTTGCGCGAGAGCCTTAGCCCGAGTCTCGCCCCTCGCCTTGGCGCTGTTCGGCGTTCGTTTCGTTCTTCGGTTGGTTGTTACCCCCCCCATTATTGTTGTTGCGCTCCTGGCCCGGTCTTCAGCCTGGGCTCCAGCCCGTGCCGTAGCCCCAGCCGTAGTTCCGGGCGTTCGTTACGTTGTTCGCTTCGTTTTTTTCCCCAACCTTCTTCTGGTAGTCCTGGGGCACGGAGTCTAGGGCCCAGGAGTCCTGGGCCTTGGAGCGAAGGGCTCAGGAGTCCGGGGCCCTCGACCCCCAACATCAGCGTCAGTTGGGACGGGGGTCGAGGGCCAAGGAGTCCTGGGCCCTGGAGTCCAGGGCCCAGGAGTCCTGGGCTTTGGGGTCTAGGGCCCAGGAGTCCTGGGCCTTGGAGTCGAGGGCCCACGAATCCTGGGCCCTAGACTCCAATTAATACGAGTGCAACAATTGGCTTTTCTCACGGTTTTCGGGGTGACACGTGTCACCCGCGTGTTGTTTCACATTATGTGGCCCCATGTTGGCGCCCAGAATGCGAGTGAAACAATTGGTTTTGCTCACACGGTTTTTGGGGTGACACGTGTCACCTGTGTGTTGCTTCACACTGTATGGCCCCATGTTGGCGCCCAGAATACGAGTGAAACGATTGTCTTTTTTCACGCGGTTTTCGGGGTGACACGTGTCACCCGTGTGTTGCTTCACACTGTATGACCCCATGTTGACGCCCACCATACGAGTGAAACAATTGCTGATTGGCTTTGCTGACGCGGTTTTCGGAGTGACACGTGTCACCCGTGTGTTGTTTCACACTGTATGGCCCCTATGTTGGCGCCCAGGATACGAGTGAAATGATTGGTTTTGCTGACACGGTTTTCGGGATGACACGTGTCACCCGTGTGTTGCCTCACATTGTATGGCCCCCATCTTGGCGCCCAGCCTACGAGTGAAACACTGTTTGTTCATACGGTTTTCAGGGTGACACGTGTCACCCGTGTGTTGCTTCACAATGTATGGCCCTATATCGCCGTCCAGAATACAAGTGACACAGTTGGTTTTCTCACGCGGGTGTTCGGGGTGACACGTGTCACCCGTGTGTTGCTTCACATTGTATGGCCCCCATGTTGGCGCCCAGAATACGTGTGAAACGATTGAGTTTGCTCACACGGTTTTCAGGGTGATACGTGTCATCCCTGTGTTGTTTCACATTGTTTTGCCCCATGGTGGCGATCATAATGCGAATGAGACAACATGTTTTTTATTACGGTCGGTTTTCGGGGTGACACGTGTCACCCGCGTGTTGCTTCGTATTGTATGGCCCCATGTTGGCGCCCAGACTACGAGTGAAACAATTTGTTTTCTCAGATGGTGTTTGGGGTGACACGTGTCACCCGCGTGTTGTTTCAGATTGTATGGCCCCATGTTGGCGACCAGAACACGGGTGAAACAATTGTTTTTTTCTCACACGGTTTTCGGGGTGACACGTGTGACATGTGTATTGCTTCATGTTGTATGGCCCCCATGCCGGCGCCCAGAATGCGGGTGAAACGATTGGTTTTGTTCACGCGGTTTTCGGGGTGACACGTGTCACCCGTGTGTTGCCTTACATCGTATGATTCCATGTCGGCGCTTAGAATACGAGTGAAACAATTGGTTTTGTTCACATGGTTTTCGGGGTGGCACGTGTCACCCGTGTATTGCTTCACATTGTATGAACCCATGTTGGCGTCCAGAATGCAAGTGAAACATTTGTTGTTTTTCTCACACGGTTTTCGGGGTAACACGTGTCGCCCGCGTGTTGTTACACATTGTATGGCCCCATGTTAGCGTCCAGGATACAAGTGAAGCAGTTGATGTTTTTCTCACAGGGTTTTCGGGGTAACACGTGTCACCCGTGTGTTGTTTCACATTGTAGGGCCCCATGTTGGCGACCAGAATACGCGTGCAACACTTGGTTAGTTTCACACAGCTTTCGGGTTGAGTTCAAGCCCAACCCAGAATTTCGACATTCGCTGGAACCCCAGGCCCTAGCCGTCGCCGCAGCCCGAGTTTGGTTTTTGTTATGTTTCTCGTTTGTTTTCGCGCGCGCCTCAAACGGGACCTCGCCCCTCGCCCTAGCCTCGGCCCTGTAGCCCTCGCTGCAGCCCTGGTTCGTTTTTCGTTTTGTGTTTGTTTGGTTTGTTTTGTCCTTTTGTCTGGTTCAAGCCCCAGCCGTAACCTCGCCCTGGCCCCAGCCGTTCCATGCCTTCGTTTGTTTTTCGTTTTGTTCAGCGCATGCCCCGACCGGCACCTTCCCCCCCCCGCCTTAACCCAGCCCTCAACCGTAGCCGCAGGCCGATTTAGGTTTTCGTTTTGATTTGCTCAAGCCCAACCCAGAAACACGACATTCGCTGGACCCCCAGGCCCTAGCCGTCGCCGCATCCCGAGTTTGTTCTTCGTTTCGTTGTTTGTTTTCGCACGAGCCTCAAACGGGACCTCGCCCCTCGCTTTAGCCCCGGCCCTGTAGCCCTCGCCGAAGCTTCGGTTCGTTATTCGTTTCATTGTTTCGTGTGTTTTGTTTTGTCGTTTTGTCTGGTTCAAGCCCCAGCCAGAACCTCGCCCTGGCCCCAGCCATCGTCCCATGTATTCGTTTCGTTGTCCGTCTTGTTTCCAGCGCAGTCTGCGAAGTTCGTTTCGTTTTTCGTTTTGTTTTCTCTATGAGCGGTGGCCTCGTTTCGTTTTTCGTTTTCGTTTGCACCGGTTTCGCTTTAAATATTCGCTGTGCAACGGTCCAGTTCGTTTTGTTTTTCGCTCTAAACCCCAACGCGTTTTAAACGCTGTTGTGGTCGGGCCTTGCATGTGTATATATATATATATATATACATATATATATATATATATATATATATATATATATATAATTGCAGCATGCATCATGAATCACCAGCAAGCGGCAGGAAACTGCAGCGAGAGAAGAAGCAGACAATGAAGCAAGCAACACAGAGCAGGCGGTCCAGCTAAAAGGCACCAGGCTACCACGCGAGTAACCACGCAAGCAGGACAGCAGGCCAGCGATTTTGTCCTGTGCATCCGATTGAGCGTTCGTGATAGTCCACGGGTCAGCCCTAGTCATCTACAGCGCTGGGATCAGCGCATGCGAGAAGGGAGAGCAGTGGCAGAGAGCTTTGTGGTTGCTCAGCAATATGAGGGAGGCGAAGCTTGAGCCAACTGTCATCTGTACTTCAGTTCTGGGCGTTGCGCATGCGAGAAGGGGTTGTGGTGAAAAAGCTGCCCCCGAGCGCCCGAAGCGCCCCAGCGCTGTCCGACGGCTCCAGAGAGCCCTTCGGTGGCCCCAAGGCGGCTTCTGACAGCCCCACGACAGCTCTGAGACGCTCTGGAGCACGCGAGGACGGCCCAAGAGGACCCGATCGGAGCCCCATAACAGCCCAAGACGGCCCGACGACGGGCCAGGTGCCTCGGAAAACGGCTGAGCTGGACCCCGATGACGGTCCCCCGAGGCCAAAATCATATGTGTTTCTCGGGTATTTGAAGGTTTTCCATATTCTCGCCATTTCGTGCCAAGAACGGCACCAGATGGCTCCAGGGCCACCCCAGATCGCACCAAAAGCCAGGAGGCCCCGCCAAGTGTCCCAAGACCGATACAGAGGGCCCGAAGAGCCCAGGATAAGGCCAAGACAGCCTCATATAGCCCCTGGTGGCCCCCCTAAGACAGCCCCAAGAGGGCCCTAGGAGCTGCCTAACAGGCAGGTGCAGCGAGCTCCAAGACGGCCCGAGACCCGTACATGGCCCTTGGACTGCCCATGATGCACCCGAGACGGTCCAAGACAGCTCCGAAGTAGGCCGAGGGGCCCCCCAGAGGCTCCAGAGATACCCCCACGAGAGCTCGAAGAGGGGCCGACGGGAGCCCAGCCGACGACGTGTTTCCCGCAGCCCCCAATGGGCCAAGAACCCTCCAAGGACCACTTCCACCTGCCCCAGAGTCTCCCAAGAGACTCCGATGGTTCCCGCAGAGCTCCCCAGGAGAGTGCCTCGAGCCACGGCACTATTTCGCCATCTCTCGAAGCGCAAACGCCCCAAGAAAGCCCCAGACCCCCAAGGCAGGCCCCATACCACCTCCGAGATGCCAGAGCCTCCCAAGAGACCCCGAAAGTCCCCACAGAGCTCCCAAGGGCGACCCCAGGGCCACTCCGAGATGCCCCAGAGTCGCCCACGAGACTCCGACACTTGCCAAGAGACTCCGACAGTTCCCGCAGAGCTCTCGAGAGCGGTCCCAGGAAGAGATTCCCATAGTTCCCACGGATCTCCCAAGAGCGATCCCAGGACCACTCCGAGATAGCCCAGAGTCGCCCCCAAGACCTCCCCCCGCCCGCAGACACTGCGGGGCCCAGAATCTCGCTCCCCCCCTACGGCTGAGCAGAGCCCTCGTTGGCCCCCAGGACAGCCCCAAGACCACAGGATTCTTCCCTGGACCATTCCGAGATGGCGCAGCCCCCCCATTCGCGTGGGGGATCGACTACAGAATTGATTTACCCCAGATTTGCTTTTCTCGCCGAATCCACGGGAAATTTGTAGGATTTTCGCAGATCTACGAACATGATCAGGACGTTTGTTGAAGATTCGACGTGAAAATCAAGTTTGGGGTAGGTGAATTCTGTAGTCGGTCTCCTGCTCAACCCATGCTGTTCGAAGATCGCCTCCAGCCCCAGCTCCCAGAGCCTGCAGCAGACCCTGCAGCGAACCTCAGGGGTGACAGGGGGGACCTTCTGAAGCAAACCTCAAAGCACGCACGCACAAAAATGTTCCCGGGCTGTCCCCCAAAGGACGCCCCCAAACCGCAAGAGGCCTTCCAGACAGGCTCGCAGGTGGGCCCAACACGCCCCCGACACGGCCCCAGGGACGCCCAAGCTGTTCAACTTCGACGAGCTGTTCACCCACGGTGTGCGAGTCCCAGGTTCAGCACACCTTGGATTTCATCCACGGGTTCGCACGAGTCTCTCCTACATGGCGGGCGGAAGCGCGTGCCAGAAGGGCGGGCATTCAAGTGCATAAAATCACCCCTCCACGGCCCCACCACGGGGTCGAAGCGCCCGCGACGGCGCAAGAGGCGCCCCAGAGGGGTTGTAAGACGGTCCAAGAGCGCTCCAAGACGGCCTCAGTTCATGCCGAGACGGGCCTTGACGCTCCAAAGACCTCCGAAGGTGGCTGCAAGACCGTCCAAGAGGTCCCAAACACGCTCCCAGAGGGCCCCGAGAGGACGCAAAAGAGGACAAAATAGTCACATTCCGATGAGAAAACGTATTGTTTGAGCATATCCGCCTTTTGAGATGTTATACGGTCCAGGACAGACCAAGGGGCCTCAAAAAAAACCCAAGACGACCCAAGCGGCCCCCAAGAGGACCCCAAGGCGGTCCAAGAGGGCCCAAAGACGGCCCAATGGGGCCCTCGAGCGGCCTGAGAGGGTCTCAAGACAGCTCCAAGAGGGCTCCAAGAGGGCCCGAAGAGGCTCCCAAGAGGGCCCCAGGAAGCCCTCCAGAGAGCCCCAAGACGGTCCAAGGCCTCCAAGACGCCCCAAAGACTTCAGAAGGTGGCTCCAAGACGGTCCAAGAGGCCCCAGAGACGCTCCGAGAGGGCCCCGGGAGGACGCCAAAGAGGCAAAAATGATCACATTCTTTTGGGGAAACGACATTTTCAGCATCCGCATTTTGCGTCGTTACACGGTCCAGGACAGACCAAGAGGCCTCCCAAAAACCCCCAAGACGACCCAAGCGGCCCCCAAGAGAGCCCCAAGACGGTGCAAGAGGGCCCAAAGACGGCCCAGGGGGACCCTCAAATGCCTTCAGAGGGCCCCAAGACGGCCCCAAGAGGACTCCAAGAGGGCCCGACGAGGCTCCCAAGAGGGCCCCAGGAAGCCCTCCCGGGAGCCCCAAGACGGTCCAAGGCCTCCAAGGCGCCCCAAAGACTTCAGAAGGTGGCTCCAAGACGGTCCAAGAGGCCCCAAAGACGCTTCGAGAGGGCCCCGAGAGGACACCAAAGAGGCAAAAATCGTCACAACCTATAGGAAAACGTACATTTTCAGCATATGCGTCTTCTGCGTTGTTACACGGTCCAGGACTGGCCAAGAGGCCCCCCAAACCCCCCCAAGACGACCCAAGCGGGCCCCAAGGCGGTCCAAGAGGGCCCAAAGACGGCCCTCGAACTGCCTGAGATGGCCCCAAGACGGCCTCAAGAGGGCCCGACGAGGCTCCCAAGAGGGCTTCAGGAAGCCCTCCAGAGAGCCCCAAGACGGTCCAAGGCCTCCAAAACGCCCCGTGACGGCCCAAACGGGCCCCAAGACGTCCCAAAACGGCCACAGAACGGCGCAAGAGGGCCTTTGAAGGGCCCCAAAAATTATCCCACAAGGACCATTGAGAAGGCGCACAGACGTTAAATGAAAGATCGATCGGTACAGCAAATAGTTGTTCAATCCAAGGCTCCCAAGAGCAAACGGTGACACGGTAAGCTCTTCAACCCGAGGCTCCCGAGAGCGAGCCGCAGCGTCAAAAATTCTGAAATTGGAGCCCGAAGCCATCATCATCCCCTCAATTCTGGGACAAGTGCGTGGGCCAATCACTTTCTGGGCCTCCAGCGGCGTCGGCACTGCCTCCGGGTCCCTGTGCGCTCTGGGTCCCCAAGACTTCGCAGAGACAGCTTTCGGTAATGTCCGAGATGGCTAGAATTGGCCCCGACAGCCGCCAAACAGGGCCCCCGAGAGATCTCAAGCGGATCCAAGGGGCCTACAGAAGGCCCCTAGACGCTCCAAAAGGCCTTGCAGGAATTGTCCAGAAGACCACGGCAACTGCAAAGCTTTCCTTTCCAACACCCACAGGAAGATGTCGGAGGTGAGGGGGTGAGATCGAAGTGGAACGGAGAGCCCCCCTACTGGGAAATCGATTTCGGTTTCGTGTTCGTGCGTGCCGTGCGGGCGAGGCGAAGCTGCGTGGGCGGGCGAGAGAAAGTCTCTTGTGGCTGAGGCGCGGCCGGACCAAATGATTCCCTTCCGGGCGGCCGGGGCCCCGCGGTGTCCCGCGGGTGTCCCGCTGGTGTCCCGTGTGGCTGAGGCGCGGCCGGACCAAATGATTTCCTTCCGGGCGGCCGGGGCCCCGCGGTGTCCCGCTGGTGTCCCGCTGGGGCCCGCGGTGTCCCGCCGGTGTTTCGTCGGTGTCCCGTCGGTGTCCCGATGATGATGATGATGATGATGATGATGATGATGATGATGATGATGATGATGATGATGATGATGATGATGATGATGATGATGATGATGATGATGATGATGATGATGATGGTGATGATGGATGGTGATGGTGATGGTGATGGTGATGGTGATGGTGATGGTGATGGTGATGGTGATGGTGATGGTGATGGTGATGGTGATGGTGATGGTGATGATGATGATGGTGATGATGGTGTCCCGATTATGCTGATGATGGTGATGCTGATGATGATGATGTTGCGAATGATCATGATGATGGTGTCCCGGTGATGATGATGGTGTCCCGATGATGATGGAGATGATGATGGTGAGATGTGATGACGATTGATGATTTCACTATCGATTGTGATATCGATAGTGATATCGATAGTTAGACCGATTGTGAGATCTATAATGAGTTCGATAGTGAGATCGATCGTGAGACCGAATGTGAGATCGATTGTGAGATTGATTGTGATATCGATAGTGATTTCGATAGTGAGATCGATAGCCAGATCGATTTTTGAGATCGATTGTGATATCGATAGTAAGATCGATACTGAGACCGAATGTGAGATCGATTGTGAGATCGATAGTGAGATCTATTGTGAGATCGATCGAATGTGATCGATAGTGATATCGATAGTGAGATCGATAGTGGGACCGAATGTGCGATCGATTGTGAGATCGGTTGTGATGTCGATAGTGAGATCGATAGTGAGACCGAATGTGAGATCGATAGTGGGATCGATTGTGATATCGGTTGTGAGATTGATAGCCATATCGACTGTGAGATCGATAATGAGATCGATAATGAGATCGATAGTGAGATCGATAGTGATATCGATCGAGTGCGACGGTGGTCCCTCCCCCCCCCCTCACCTCCTTATCACCCGAAGGGTGGTCTATGCGGTATGGATTTTGCTTCGCAGGCTTTTCGACGCGAGACAGCTCCAAAACGGCTTCGGGGGAGACTCTTGGGCTCCTTGCGGGCCACCTTGGGCCCTTTGGGGGCCCCCATCGAGCCTCCTGGGTTGTTTTTGGAGCCTTCTTGGGCCGTCTCGGTCCGTCTTCGGGTCGTCTTTGGGCCCTCTGGGCTGTCTTTGATTGCCTAAAGAGGAGAGCCCAAGGGCGGCCCCAGAGGGCTCCCAGAATATTACAGAAGACGTCGGAGAGCTTCCAGACGGCCCGACACGCCCTCCAGAGAACGCCACGACGGCCCAACAGACCCCCAGAGAACCCTGAGACGGCCCAGGACGGCCCCAAGAGGGCCCAACGAGGCCCCCAATAGTTTCGGCCATAGGGCCCCCCAGCACGGCCTCCATATCCGGCAGCACACAAGCCAGCAGCGGCAGCAATTAGTAGCTAGCAGCAGAAAACAATGTTTGATCCGCGGGTCGAGAGCGAGCCTCTTCCGGTCGAAGCTAAGCGGGCCGCGCACAGCTTTAACTGACAGAGGGAGGAAAACAGAAGGAGGGGCCTCACGTCAAGGCCAAGAGAGGGCAAAGCCCCGGGATCAGGCGGTGCCGAAGGCGAAGGGCATGCAAAGGTACGCTGCTAGAGCTCGGACACGTAGGCGCGGTCTCGCTGCCGCCGCCCCGGCCGCCGCCGTTCTTATAGGTTTTCCGCAAGTTCCCATTGTTCCTCCGAGAACCATGGAAAGATGTCGTGGACGGAGTCCACGGGTCAGCCCTAGTCAGCTACAGCGCTGGGATCAGCGCGTGCGAGAAGGGCGACCAGTGGCAGCGTGCTTTGGCGCTGCTCAGCGAGATGCGGGAGGCGAAGCTCGAGCCCAATACCATATCTTCCTACCATGCAGGGACGTGTGCGTGCCGGAAGGGTCTGTGCATCGAGAGGCTCACGGAGGCTCCGAGCCGCTCACGACGGCGTTCCGAAGGCCGCAGTCCAGCCAGAGACGCTCTGGCGGGCGCCCCGACGGCCCCAAGGCGGCTCGGAGACGCTCCAGAGGCCTCCCCGACGCCCCCAGAGGACTCCCAGCGAGCCCCACGGCCCGAGCATTTGCTTTGGGCGAAGCGCGAGGGGCGAGGCACGCCCGCGGGCCCGCGGGCCTGCCGAGGAGGAGGGGGAGGAGGAGGAGGAGGAGGAGGGGGAGGAGGAGGAGGAGGAGGAAGAGGAGGGGGAGAGGGGGGAGGAGGAGGAGGAGGGGGAGGGCAAAGGGTGACATCTGAAATGCCGTTTCGATTGAGTGTCGAGGCTTGAATCTGCAAAAGGTGAGTCACAAGACGGACTGATTTTCGAGGTGCAGCAGCCCATATGGATTTCACCCTGAGCCCTCCACCCCAGGAAAATGCTCAGGCGCTGGCCCGAGAGATGCTCCGAGAACAGGCCCGGTGGCGTCCGAAACGGCCCAGGAGAACCTCGCCTTGACGGCCCTGGCGGCCAAAACCGTCGATATCCCATGGGGTGTGCATGATTTTCACGCTCTCGCCATGTTGGGCCAAGAACGGCCCCCAGACGGCTCCAGGACCCAGTCAGATCGCTCCACGACGACCCAACAGGCCCTCAAGAGGACCCCAAGACGGCGCAAGACGGTTCCACGACGGCCCAACAGGCGCCCAAGACGGCCCAAGGGGCACCCAAGACAGCTTCAAGAGCGACCCCAGGCAGCCCAGGACCGCCCCAAGACGGCCCAAGAGCAACCCAAGACGGCCCCAAACAGCCCCAAGACGGCCTCAGAGGCACCCAAGAGGGCCCCAAGAGCCGCCAGGAAACCGAAAAGAAGCCCCCATAGGCCCCCAAACGGCCCCCAGAAGGCCCTCAGTGGCTTCAAAATTGCTTCGAACAGAGGGGAAATAACCGAGAGGCGAGAAGCAGATCGCAGGCCCGACAGAGCCGTGTTGGACAGTCCGATCGAGCGACAGAAAAGGGAGGAGGAGGAAAAGGAGGAGGAGGAGGAGGAGGAGGAGGAGGAGGAGGAGGAGGAGGATCCAGCAGCAGGAAACAGCAGCAGCCGCGAGCAACAGCAGCAGCAGCAGAGCAGCATCAGCAACACATTTCGCACACAGGATCTCTTTACGGCTCATCGCTCCCTTGCGCTCCATTCTGGGGTCGGTGGTTCTGGTCACATGCATGTGCCGACCTTCAAAGCTACACTCCGAGCTCGCCCAGCCTTTCCCCTTCTGATAGTCGTGACCTTGGACTGTGGTGGCGACCGCGACCACGTCCCTAACGTCATCATCAAAGCCTGTCGGCAACATCTCCGCCCAAACCAAGCAAGCTTTGCCGACGAGCTTTCGTGGACGAAGGCCACGGGTCGGGTTGGCCCTAGTCTCTACTACATTGCAGGGCCCAGTGCGTGCCAGAAGGGCGCAGGCTCCAATGAGTCAAAACCGCCCAGGGCTGGCCCCGGGCCGCCCCGGGCCGCCCAGGCAGGCTCCAGGACATGTCGAGAGGGCCCCCAGAAGCCCCCAAGACGGCCCCGGAGAGCCCCGGCACGCTTAAAGATGGGCCCAAGACGCCCGAGATTCGCCCCAGACGGCCCAAGAGGCGTCCAAGACGCCCGAAGAGGCCTCCCAAGAGGCCTCCCAAGAGGGCCCCGAGCGACAGAAATCGTCGATTTCTATTGTGTTTTTCGATGTTTTCGCCCTCCTCGCCTCTTCGGCTTCCCGACGCTCCAAGACGGCCCAAGAAGTCCCCCCGACCGCTCCAAGACGGCCGAAGAGGACCCCAAGAGAGCCCCAAGACGGGCCAGGAGGGCCCCCAGACGGTCCCAAGACGCCCAGGACGGCCCCAGGACGGCCCAGGAGGCGCCCAAGACGGCCCAAGAGGCACCCAAGACGGCCCCAGGAGCGGCCCAAGACGGCCCAAGACAGCCCAAGAGGCGCCGAGGCGGGCCTCAGACGGCCCCAAGACGGCCCAAGAGGCACCCAAGACGGCCCGAGAGGGCCCTAAGAGCCCCCCCGGGAGGCCCAAAAGAAGGCCGAAGAGGCTCCGAAACGGCCCCCACGAAGCCTTCAGTGGCTTCAGAATTCCCTCCAGGAGCGGGGGAGCGGACGAGAGGCGACAGGCATATCGCAGGCAAAAACGCCCCAAGAGATCCCCAAACGGCCCCCACGAAGCCCTAAGTGGCTTCAGAATTGCTTCCAGGAGGGGGGGAGCGGACGAGAGGCGACCGGCATATCGAAGGCACAAAAGAACAATGTTGGACGCTCCGAGGGCCTTCGATGTTTCTCTGTTGGGGAGAGTCGTCGTGGGATCGACGATTGCCGACCGAGGGCATGGAGAATCCAGCGAAAGAGGAGAAGAAGGTGGAAGAGGAGGAGGAGGAGGAGGAGGCGGAGGAGGAGGAGGAGGAGGAGGGGGAGGAAGCAGCAGGACCTCCGAAGCTGGAGCCCGACGCTATCATGATTGCCTTTCGGCCCTGCAGCCGCACCCCCTCGCGCTTTCCCAGAGACCCCTCGCCACGTCGAGCTGATGTCGTGGACGGAGTCCACAGGTCTGCCCTAGTCAGCTACAATGCTGGGGTCAGCGCGTGCGAGAAAGGCTTACAGTGGCAGAGGGCTCTGGCATTGCTCAGCGAGATGCGGGAGGCGAGGATGGAGCTCACCGTCATCAGCTACAGCGCTGGGGTCAGCGCTTGCGAAAAGAGCGGGCGGTGGCAGTGGGCTTTGGCGCTGCTGAGCGAGATGCGGGAGACGACGACGGAGCCCAACATCGTCTATCCTACAATGCCGCCGGGGCGGCCCTGGACGGCCGCCAGAATCCGGAGCCAGACCCCTCCCCCTCTCCCCCCTTTCCGCCCAATGTCGAAACGCCCAATAAAAGGAACGCCCACGAGGCGATCGGTGACGTCAAACGTCGGAGATGACCCACCGCTTTCGAGGCAGTCCCGCAACAAAAACGCACACGTTTCCCCAGGCAGTTTTTTTCTGTTGTCGCGGCGCGCTGGCGATCGCACGGCGCGGGCAGAGGCCGAGGTCGGGATGCGAAAGGACATGTCCGCCGTCAGGCCGCCCGGGGAGAAAACGGCATCAGTCTCCAAGCTTTCCCGGCGGCCCCTCCAACTCCTCCTCCTCCTCCGCCTCCTCAGCCTCCTCAGCCTCCTCCTCCTCGTCCTCCTCCTCCTCCTCCTCCTCCTCCTCCACCTCCCCCGCCTCCTCCTCCTCCTCCTCATCCTCCTCCGCCTCCTCCTCCTCCTCCTCCTCCGCCTCCTCCGCCTCATCCACCTCCTCCTCCTCCTCTTCGTCCCCCTCCTCCTCCCCCCCCCTCTTCGTCCCCCTCCTCCTCCCCCCCTCTTCTTCCTTCTCGCCCAGAGGACGGGTCGATTGCACGCTCTCTGGCAGATCGAAAGAGCCCTCCCCCGGCGAGCCGCCCGCTAGGAAGCACAGGCGCAGTTGTCAAATTGTTCTGGCGTTCTGGGCGTCGAGCAGAATCGTCAAATGGGAGCCGACAAGCTGCTCTCTGGGCATGCCGCCGGGGGGGAAACGCGTGCTTCCCAGCCAAGCCGCCCGTGAAAAGCGCGGGTGCCCACGTTTCTTCGGGCTCGGCCCCGGCGAAAACTTCTGCGGACTGTAGTCCACGGCCCAGTAAGCTACACCGATGTGATCCGCGCGTGCCAGAAAGGCGAGCAGTGGCAGAAGGTTCTGTCTTTGCTCAGGGAGTTGTAGCCAGCATGTGAGAACATGGCGGACAAACGAAGCTGGCGCAGTCGTTCACAAGCGAATTGTGCAGCTTAGTTATAGCCGGAACGATGCAATCCGTGATATAACACCAGGACCGTGTGCGTGGCGATTTTCGCGATTCCGTGGAGCAGCATTTCCCCGGGGGCCGCATGAGGGCCCATTGCCAGGCTCTTCTGACAGCCCCAAGATGGCCCAGAAAGCTTCCGAGGAGACCCCCCAGAGCCCAACACAGTCCCCGAGGGCCGCCAGGAAGCCCAAGGTCCTCAAGATCGCTCCAGAGGGCCCCAGGAGGTCCCCAGTTTATCCCCCCCCGTAGAGGAGAACTAAACAAGAACATATCAAGCGTCGTGTTTTCAATAATGCAGTTCCCACGGCCTCTTCTCATCTATCGTCTCCGCAAGACATGGCAGGCCTCCATGAGGTCCCAGAAGGCCCCACAGACCGCCCAAGATGCCCCCAGAGGCCCCCAGACGGCCAACGTGAAGGCCCCAGGGAAGCCTGGGATGCCCGAAGGAGAGCCGCACGAGAGTTGGTTGGTGTTCGTCGTTTCCTCGCCCTCCTGGCCCCTCATCGTCTGCACGACGGGCCCACGTGTGCCCAACATGGCCCAAGACAGTCTTTATGCAGCCCCATGACCGCCCATTGACCGCCCCAACACGGTCCAACTAAGCCTGATCGGCCTCATGGAGCCCCAAGATACACCCAGTGCCGCGCCGTGAACATGTCTATAAGGGTCAGTGAAGCGCGAGCTGTTCTAAGGTTTTCACCAGAATTCTCCAGAATTCTTTCCTGAAGCATCCCCAAGAGACTCAGGCGCGTCCAAATTTATTGCCAGACAAACCCTCGATGGCCCCAACACCCGCCAAGGCGGGCCCGATACTCCAACATGCCCCTGGCATGCTCCCCAAGAGGCCATAACGACGGAAGCGGCGACTCCTCCAAGGGACCTCCGAGAGGCCAAGTCACTGAAAAGTCCTTTGGCTCGAATTGCGGTTGACCTCCCCGCCCGGATAGTCCAGGACGGGCTCAGGTGGGCCCAGGCTGCTTCAAGAAGATCCCCAAATGGCACCCAGACCCCTCAAGATTGCCCCGAGAGGCCCAGGACGGCACAGGAAGGAGGAGGAGGAGGAGGAGGAGGAGGAGGAGGAGGAGGAGGAGGAGGAGGAGGAGGAGGAGGAGGAGGAGGAGGAGGAGGAGGAGGAGGAGAGGGAGGAGGAGGACAAGACGGGCCCGGAGCGGCCCCAAGTCGCTCTGCTCGTGCGCCGCTCCGGCTGCACTTCCCTGCCCCCGCAGGCAGGCATGTTGGGCATCGGCCTGCCTGCCATGGATTTCACCCCTTGGCATCGCTCGGACGTGTGCATTTTTCCTTCGGCGAGGACCATCGAGGAGCATCCTTGATCATTTGGCGAGAAAACCACGCACGAAACCGAAAAAAACACAGGAAATGGACGTCCGAGCGATGGCCAGACCCGCGGGCTCCCTCTAGTCAGCTACGGCGCTGTGATCAGCGCGTGCCAGAAACGGGGGCAGTGGCAGCGGGCCCTGGCGCTGCTCCGCGAGATCCGGGAGGGGCACTTGGAGCCGAACGCCATCAGCTGCAACGCTGGGATCAGCGCGTGCGAGAAGGGGGGGCAGTGGCAGCGAGCCGTGTCCTTGCTCAGCGAGATGGCGGAGGCGAGCTTGGAGCCCGACGTCATCTACAGTCGGGGCCCTGAAGAAGGAACCCTTTTCGTTGGGGAGGGGCTCCGTGTTCCTTAATAGTTTCGCAGCTTGCCTAGGATTTGTCTTAGGTTTTCGATACGAAATCGAAGTTCAACTTATGGAAAATAGGGGCCTTGTTCCTTATTTAGGGTTCCTTAGGTCAACGCCCCGACTCTATCCTACAATGCTAGGATCTGCGCGTGCGAGATTCCGTTGCCGCAGCTCGGCCTGCAGCGGCTTCCAGCGCTCCTGGGAAGCTCCTGGGGCGGCCCTGGACGGCCCTGGACGGCCGCCAGAAGGCTCCAAGACATCCAACAACGGGTCAGAGAGCGCCTGGAAGGCACCATACACCCGAGAACCCGAAGCGAGCCTCCATACAGTCGGGGCGCTGAAGAAGGAACCCTTCTCGTTGGCGAGGGGCTCGGTGTTCCTTGACTGTTTTACAGTTTGCGTTGGGCTTTCCATGGGAAATCGAAGTTTAACTTATGGGGATTATCCCGGCAAAGCAACCTAACAGCGATGTGTAGGAGCATATCTGGAAGCATTCCCCTTAAGATTCAAATGAGAATCCAGTTGTAGAGTTCTGCTGTTCTCGCAGTCGTAGTCGCATTCGCGATGACAGTCGCAGTGGCAACGGCAGTCGCAGTCACAGCCTCAGCCTCAGCCTGCCTCAGCCTCAGCCTCCGCCTGCCTCAGCCTCAGCCTGCCTCAGCCTCAGCCTCAGCCTGCTTCATCCTCAGCATCAGTCTGCCTTCAGCTTCGGCCTCAGCCTCAGACTGCCTCAACCTCAGCCTGCATCAGCCTCAGCCACAGCCTCAGCCTGCCTCAGCATCAGCCTGCCTCAGCTTCAGCCTCAGCCTCAGCCTGCCTCTGCCTCAGCCTCAGCCTGCTTCAGCCTCAGGCTCAGTCTGCCGTCAGCCTCGGCCTCAGCCTCAGCCTGCCTCAGCCTCAGCCTGCATCAGCCTCAGCCTCAGCACGAAGCAACCCAGCTAGAAGGACAAAGCGCTGAATGTACACCGATGTGTTCGACGACTGCGTATGTAATGATGTGACGATATACAGACTGAGCCCTTCGTGAATGTCTACATGTTTTTCTGACGCCTACAACGGCGCTGACGTGTGTGTGAAAAGTGTCCGCGCAGCAAAAGCCGGCGAAGCGTGCAGACAGCCAGCTGCAAAAGGTTGCGAGCGGCTCTTGGAAGACGTTTACGGAACGGAGCTACGGTGTCTGAAAACAATGGCATCGAAGCGAAGAGCCTCGGAGCCCTGCAGCCTGAGAAACACCGCAGGAACTCGCATACTGAAAAGGAATGCATTGCAAACCGCACGTTGCGAACCCTGCAGGCTGAGAAGCACCGCAGGATGTCGCATGCTGAAAAGCACTTGTACTGCAGAGCGCAGGCTGCGAAACCTGCAGGCTGAGAAGCACCGCAGGAACTCGCATGCTTTCGAACACTACTGCTCGAGACCGCAGCTGGAGAGCGGCAGACCGCAGGCTGAGAAGCACCGCGGGCAGAGAGACTTGCAAAACTCAGATGTCCTGATCGTCTTGGAGGAAGTCACGCCAGTCCGGCGGCTGCCAAGAATCGATGATGCGCCTGGAGCCACCGCCCGTGCTGCCGCCGATGTCCAGGTAGTCGCCATCGCCCCTGAACAGACGGCCGTGCCCGCACGCCAGAATCGCTTGGTTGCGGATTTGAAGCAGCGCTCCGCTCTCAAACATCTGCAACACGTCCTGCTGCCTGCGCGTGAAGTTCGGCTTTGCCTGGCCAGCCTGGGCAGACAGATATAGGGAAAGCCGCTCCCCCTCGTTGTAGCGCGCGATGGCCTCGGCCTTCTGGTGGTGCAGCCGGCGCCGCTGTTGCCGCAGAGCTTCCTCGGGAACTGCTGCATCACGGCCCTCACTGTGATCAGCTTGCAACGCTTGCGTTAACCAATCAACGTCGAAGCGCCCTGAGAAGGCCAGCACCTCCCAGATCTGTTTAGTACCGGCCACACGTTGCAAATGGCGATGCCACCGCTTACGCTTCTGGTCTTTCACAAACTTGGCGACGCTACCCAGACCTGCACCCTTGGCCTGGCCACCTTTTCCCGCAGGCTGAGAAGCACCGTGAGAACCTTTCTTACCGCCTGGCCCTTTGTTCGGACCCTGCGGAACCGCATGGCCCCCTTGTGGCGCAGACTTGCCTTTCGCTTTTCCCTTTTCGATATCCCGTTCCTGAAGCGCACGCTGCTGCCGCGACTGCTCGTACTGGTCGCGAGCTACTCTGACCAATTCCTGGCGCTCAGGCTCCGTGAGAACGTAGCGCATGTCGTCGGTGTTCTTGCTCCGCAGAAAGTCATGTCGAAGCTTAAGGACAGAGAGAATGGCTCGGCCAGTCTCCTCCTGAGACGCAAAGGCCGTGTCATATTCCGAGCCAGGCTGAGGAGCGCCAGCTGGATCAGTGTCCGCTGGCTCCGTGGACTTCCTCTTTTTGAAAAGCAAGAGACTGAGATGATGGAGGACTTTCGGATCGTACTCCTCGTCGTACCTGTCGTCCCAAAGCTTCCTCAGCTCCCTGTGCAAGTCGTCCGCGCGATTCTGAACGACATCCTCGACGTAGTCGGGATCACCCGGTGAAGTCGGTGAAAGCGGAGGAGCAGAACTCGGCGACCGATCCCAATGCACAGAAGACTCGCGGTCCGCCTGTACGCTGACGTCGGCGTCGGAGACGTTTTCGACGACAATTTTCCGCCTCTTGCTCTCCCCAGGCTGAATAGCACCAGGGAGAGTGAGCACAACCGCCACCGCATCGTGTGCGTCGTTGCGCATGCCACGATCCGTAAAAGACGCGCCAACGGCAATGGAGCAGAAACGGGCGACTGCTCCGCAGACCGCGACGTGGTCGCCTTTGAGGTCGGCCGGAGTGGCATGGACCTCCCATACCTTCTCGTCGTTCTGCTCGCGCTGGTAAGCCTCCCGCGCCTCCTGGAAAGTGAGGTTGTCGTCGCCGACTACAAGCACAACGACTGCCTCGTTTAGATTCTCAAGAATCTTGGCCAGGCCGTCCAGGTGCAAGCGGAGATGGCGAACTGTCCGCTTTCGAGTCTGGATGCTCGGCGGTTTCTTGCCGCACACGATGTGCATGTTGGCGATCACCACGTGGAACTTGTCATGGCCTGGTTTGTTCACCTCAAAATGTGAAATAACAGCATCAATATCTCGGCCGCTAGGAGGCCTGTAAACTTTGCTGTCTTCGCACAGAGTCAGTTCCGCAGGCTGAGAAGCACCGCGGAACCCCCAGAGAGTCAAGTAGTTGTCGACCTCCAAGAAGCGAATGCCATCACCGAAAGGCTTACTGAGGATCTCTGTCACGTTGATCCCTGCTCGGCGAAAGCCTTCACGGAACGCACCGACCTCGCAGCCACAGACCATATCAGCATCAGCGGTCTCCACTATCTTGGCGCACAACCTTCCGAAGTTAGCGCAGTGAGTGGCCGCCTGCTTACCAGTCATCATGCCCTGCTCGAACCCGAAATTGAACGAGGCGACCGTGAAAGACGCAGGCTGCACAGCGCCAGAACCAGGCGTCTGTCCACCTTCCTCCGCAGGCTGAGAAGCACCGCGAGGCGGCGCAGGCTGAGAAGCACCGCGAGGCGGCGACACTTCGGACGAGCCTCGCGGAGCAGAGGCTGCGGATGAACGTTGGACATGGGGGTACGGCCAGGGGAACGCCATTGCAATCAAAACTCAGTGGACTGCAGTGAATGAATGTAGTGGCCAATTGAATGCAGAGGACTGCAGTGTCACTAGCAAGTCCTGAACCAAACACAGCTGTGGCGGAAGGAATATGAAGCGTCTGGCTATTCAAAATGTTGCCCGGCAATGTCCTCCTCCTCCTCCTCCTCCTCCTCCTCGTCCTCCTCCTCCTCTTCCTCCTCCTCCTCCTCCTCCTCCTCCTCCTCCTCCTGGTAATCCTCCCCCTCCCCTCCTCCTCCTGGTAGCCCAGGAATGGGAGTTTTGGGAACTCGAAGAGCACGAAGTGGCCTACAGTTGGCTCCGGGCATTCAAAATGTGCCCGGGAATGGAGTTCTGGGGACTCGAAGACCACGAAGTGGCCTACAGTTGGCTCCGGGCATTCAAAATGTGGCCCGGGACTGGAGTTCTGGGAAATAGACAGCGGCGCGGTGGGCCTTACAGTTGGCCCCATCACCAAAATTGTGGCCGGGAATGGCGTTTCTGGGGAAACTCGAAGAGCAAGAAGTCCGCTTCCTGTGTGTCGTGTGTCTTGTGACTGTTGCATCCGGCCCCCAGAATGTGGCCCGGGAATAGCGTTCTGGGATGTCGAAGAGCACTTTGTGTGTGACTGTTGCATCCGGCCCCCCAGAATGTGGCCTGGGAATGGAGTTCTGGGAAGGCGAAGAGCACGAAGTGTGTGACTGTTGGTGAAAAACGAGCCCGGCTCATGCCGCCCGGAAACGCTCCAACACCTGCCCGGACCCCCCTGTGGAGTGATCTGTGAGCTCTTTTGAGTCAACTAGAAACCTATCAGTCTTCGCTGTTAGGTAAAAACGCCAAGCGAAGCCAATACATCCTCTGGTTTGTGCTGGACCCCCTCCCCAGCGCGCGGAGAGCGCCAGGGGCGGCGCGAGCGGGGCCCAGGCGCCCATCGGAGCTCCGCGCGGAGCTCCGCACACGGATGCTCATGCCGCCCTTCTTCCATGAAGGGGAACTGGAACACACAAATAAATACACACAAATAAAAAGATCCCCCATATTTTCTCATAGTTTCTGGGTTTTTGTCCTCCCCCCACTTCCCATAGTTTCCCATATTTTTTTGGGGGGATCGAGGATTCATTGTGTCTGTGTGTTTTTCCCCCTCCTGATTCCAGAGGGTTCCAAAGAGGGTTTTTGAGGGGGAGGGGGCAGTCCAGGAGGGGTCCCCCCCAGGGGCTTCGCACCCCCCTGTTTTGACGGGGTCCCGCGAGGCCCCCGGTGCGCTCTCTGGAAAGCCCCT